GCTTACAAAAGCAAAATAAGTTATCACAGTAAAAATAATCAAGGGTGTTCTTTCACATTCCTCAACACTGCATAAACAATATGTATGGCTTTGTAAAAATGAACAACCATATTCTGGCCAATTGTATAGATTTGTAAATATGAACAACCATATTCTGGCCAATTGTATAGATTTGTAAAAATGAACATGAACAGATTTTTTATTTTTTTGAATGGCAGTACCTTTCAAACATGTCTGCTTGCAGTAAGGTAGCACTCACAAGGTGGCCAGAGAAAGAGAACCTTTCTTTGGTGTGATCCAGGATGGTGTTGCAGATCTCTTCAGACAGCCTCTGCTTCTCCTCTTCTCTCAAAGCTGTTCTGGGTCTTTTGGCTCCTGTTGCTTCTTGCAGCTGCTGTTGAGAGGAGTCCCTGAAGGCAAACAGACCAATGTGTTTGTTGGCTTTGTACAGTATTGTTGTCTATGTGATGCACAGGTATATGCAATGTATCCATGTATAGTACAAATACTTCAGTTCCACTTAAAATGGGCAGGGATGCATAAAGTCTTTAGTGTTTAAGTTAGCCTTTGTGTCTCACATAGCCTGGATGTTCAGCACAGTATACAGTGGTGCTCATAAGCTTATGATCCCATGCTAAAGTTGACTAAAAAGAGGAATAAAAAAGAAAAGAAAATTGGTGTCCTTAAAGGTTGGATTTTCCAACTTTTTTAATTAAGTCATTAAGATCAATTTCCAAAAGAAGATTTTTTTATTTTTTTATTCCTCTTTTTAGTCAGCTTTAGAATGTGTTCATACACTTATGAGCACCACTGTACAGTACACATAGTATATAAAATAAGATAGATTACACCACTGGCCATATATAATGACAATAATGTAATTTCAAACACAAATGCAGTCTCCTTTCATGCATACATTTTCAAATAAAGCTCTGCTTTGAGAAAGATCGAATGATATTGTTTAATCTTTATCTTACCTTATGGCCTGCACACTGCTTGCGAAGCTGTCGAGGGCACGTTTGATAAAGACAGCATCGATGTCCTTATTCTGTAGCTTCTGGTACGGTGGGCTGGTCAAATGAACCCAATGAACCCGTCCGGATGGCTTCAAAACATTCTATGAGGTCGTCTCGATTCTCGTAGACAGTGTTCACGACTCTGCTGTTGCTAACCTCATCGTTGTGGCGGCGGACAGCTAGCCTGTATCCCTCATCCAGTTGAGTGGCAATATTCACTCTCACCAAAGCAGACAATCTCAAACAGCTATCAATGTGGGTCTTTGAAAGCTCATTTTTCTTAATCTTTTCTGAAAGATGGTGCAATGTCGGTTACACCAGTCGCTGTCCAAGCGTTGCTGTCTGCCGTTCATGGTTACGTTACGTTACGTATGACGAAAGCGCGTAAGTGCAAGCCCTCAGACACCCATAGAGAATGTATTGAAAGCTCAGAAATTTGAAAAAAAAATATTTTACATTAGAGGCTATGAGAGACTTCTGGGCGATTTTCAACCTGACTGAAATCGCCCCAAAACGGGCGGGGACATTTGAAGCACGACTTTAGCCTGATTGGACATTTAGTGGCTGGCAGATCAGACGTGAACACTGAACTACTGTTGCCATGATATAATTGATTAGAAAAAAAATCCCTTCCTTTTCCCGTTTGGCAGTGCGTCGCCCATATCGCCCTATTGAACACACCGCCCATGCTAACTTAGCTAACCTCGTGTTCTGTTTAGCTGTAAGTTAGCAATCATCATTCTATCCTCTTGTGACGAAGCTCACGTTGTTCTTTTTATGTTAGGCGGATTCTGGTCGAGGGTAGAGTTTTGAACATTTTCTCTCTTTGATGTTGAACAGGTATGTATTCCCTATATCAGGTTAAAAATGTGTTCATTTAAAATGTTTTCATGTATTGATTAGTGTTTAATGGCACTGAAAAGCTCAAATGTGAAGGATTACATGTTGCTTCGTGCATATTACTGTATGTATTACCTATTTGAAAGATGGTTTATGTCATGTTGCACAGTATTAATGTAAAGGCCAAAAGCTCAGAGTTTTTGGCAGAGATAACATGAATATGACACATACATAAGATATACACCAGATGCAATGTTTATTTTCCAATGATGTTGTATTTTATTCCTTGTATTTTTGAATGTGATTATATTGAGTCTGCATTGTACTCGGCTGGGAAAGGCGGATTCTGGTCGAGGGTAGAGTTTTGAACATTTTCTCTCTTTGATGTTGAACAGATTGAGAGAGTTGTACACAATAAAGTGCCTTCAAGTACGCCAGCGTGTTGTCTTCAGTGCACCGGAACACAACGCAGTAGTCGGCAACGAGCAGACCGCGCCGGCTACACAAGTCAGTCAAGAACAAAGTCTTCTTTACAATGACGGCCTACCCAATGACGGACGACGCTGGGCCAATTGTGTGCCGCCCTATGGGACTCCCGATCACGGCGGTTGTGACACAGCCTGGGAACGAACCAGGGTCTGTAGTGACGCCTCTGTAATGAGATAATGCCACTTGAAATAGTATGTATCTATAATGTGTTAATTAAAAATGTTTTCATTAGCTTTTATGTGGTCTGTGTGTATTTGAACCTACTACCGAACAGTATTTCCAGCAATCCTCATCACAGTGAAATGACCGTGAGTTGCAGTATTATTTCTGGCCTCTGGATGTCACTGTTGCTCCATGTATGAATTCTGCTCACCGTTCTAAATTAATTTAGCAAATCTGTCAAATAGAGAACATGCACTAGACACGCTTTCAGTGGTGGAAAAAATACCCAATTGTCATACTTGAGTAAAAGTAAAGATAGTAGAAAATGACTCAAGTACAATTGAAAGTCACCCAGTAAAATACTACTTGAGTAAAAGTCTTATTTGGTTTTCAATGTACTTAAATATCAAAATAAAATGTAATTGCTCAAATATACTTAAGTATCAGTAAGTAAAAGTTTAAATCATTTTAATTTCCTAATATTAAGCAAAACATATGGCATCATTCTTTTATTTTTTATTTTTGTATTTACGCAAAGCCAGGGGCACACTCCAACACCATTTACAAACTAATCATGTGTGTTTAGTGAGTCCGCCAGATCAGAGGCAGTAGGGATGACCAGGGATGTTCTCTTAAGTGCGTGAATTGGACAATTTTGCTGTCCTGCTAAGCATTCAAAATGTAACGAGTACTTTTAGGTGTCAGAGAAAATGTATGGAGTAAAAAGTACATTATTTTCTTTAGTAAAAAGTAGTCCAAAATATAAATAGTAAAGTACAGATACCCCAAAACAACTACTTAAGTAGTACTTAAAATATTTTTGCTTAAGTACTTAACACATCACTGCATACTTTTCCTCGAAGTAAGCACTATATGCCTAAGGGTTTATATCTTTATATGAGGTTCTGTTGGCCATTGGCGGGTGGGGACCAATGTTCCCTCAAAAGAAAATTGGCACTGAGAACATTTCAGGTCGGCTGAGGGCAAACTTGAACATTGTGAAAATTCTGTGCAACCTTCAGCGTGCGTTTACTGTGAACACTGAGGCTGTACCTGCTTTAAGTTATAGTTTCAGACAGTGGTCAAGTAGGCTACTGTGGATTATCATAATGTAGGCCTACCAGAGTGGCCTACCATAAAAAACAATGGAAACATTTTAACATGGAAATAGGTGTTCTATCATTCAGCCCACAGTAGCAGCCAATGTGTGGTGTTCAATGTAGGTCCTACATTCCATGAGAGTTTTGAAAAAAGCATGAAGGGCTTGACATTAACCTGTTTATCCACTTGTCCTTCAGACAAGGAGGTGACTGAAAATGTTGTTGTGTTGTTTGATGCATGAAACCACTTTACAAAATAAAATGCATTATTATTCCCATACCATTATTACAGAGAATCAGACAAATTATGCTACCCTCTGCCTATTGGCTACTTAGCTTATTCAAGCCTGTCTGAAAATACTGTCCCTTTAAGACAAAAAAAAAGCTCTTTACCCAGACCGCTTTTCAAAGATGTCTAGAAATGTACACATTTTGTGCTCTTGTAAGAAGCAATCACTCCCTCATTGCTGACTACAAATTATCAATAACTCACTAACTAGCAAAGGATATGAACAAATGTGCACAGGTGGCTACATGCAGCTCTCACTTTGATCTCAAAACAAGCACCCATGACTGCTCATGTTGTAAACACAGTCCAGTTCAAAGTGAATGGCACAGATCCATTATGGCAATTGCCTGTTTGCATATAGGCCTACTGCAGCTCTGATTGGTTATGCTTCACTGGTCTGTGAGTACAGGCTGAGTCGCTTGTCAATGCAATAGAATCCTACTTCAATGCGTTCTGTCTACAACACAATCTCTTGCATAGTTAGTTTTGCATACTAAGTCTTGCATAGTTTGTTTTGTTTCGGTATGTTTTATTGAAAGTGACAAATATTGCGTTGATTCGATCACAATTCCCACAGTAAAGGGAAATGCTGATAGTGTTAATTAAGGGAAAAAACTCTAGAAGGTTGAGTGAAGTTCAATCTCGTGCTTCTCTGTGCAGGCTGATATTTCTTCTGTGCTGCAGTCCCGGGGGAGCTGTGCGCAGTTTAGGTGGAACATTGGTGGGGACTATGAGACAGTATGAGGATTCCACTGTTTGAGGACGCCATAGAAAGCTCTCAAACATTCAGTTCAGATTCAAATTTGAGAGGAAGATTTGATCCTTAGAGAAGCAAGAGAGGACTAAAAACGGATTTACCACAGAATGTTATCAATTTACAACTATGCAATGATTTCAGACAGCTTTATGAATATTTGGCTCCTCTGAATAAAAGCCATTGCGACTCCTCCAATTCTCTGAATCAATTTTTGCCTGCCATTTTAATATAACATCTTTATTGCTATCATAAAAAACCATAATCAATATGCAAAATTGGTTCTCATGCGCCACCTATCGAGTATATAATTCTACCGGAAGCAGGGTAGTATAGGAATTTCCGGTTACGTCAGCGTGTCTGGACTCCATTAGGGGGTTGCAGCTGTTGAGAGAAACAACAACAAAAACGGAGCGATTGACGGGAATACCACAGAGTCAGTGCGTTCTCAGCCGGGTTACGAAGTCTAAATTCTGGGAGCTAAAACCTCCTTTCCCACCCTGGGCTTCGCCGGCTTCTAACCACGGCCGCTCTCGGTGAGGAAACTCTGGCCTCCGCTTCCTCCTCCTCCGACTCGGACACCGGCGGAGCGTCGCCGCCCCCACGGAAGAAACACCGAGCCTCGGCGGCGGAGGGAGCAGGAGAGCCCGGGGCTTCAACAGTTGCGACAGGCCTTTCTGGAGTTGTTTTGGGACTTGCTACTACTTCTCCACATCACCAAGCCACCTCTGCTATTCACTTTAACCGGACCCTTGTCAACAATCTCAGCGGCAATAACATGCAGTCAAACGGGGCAGGACAGGATTCAGAGCTTTCCTGCCAAAACAGTGCACAAAACGGGGAGTCATCCTCGGCTGGGGGAACGCACTTCAACGGGCTTCTGGTCAGCACAAACAATGGGAATAGTGTCGGTACCAATAACGGAGCCGGACCGGGCTCAGGGACCTCCACAGCCTCGGGTTCGGAGGTCGGCTCCATGAAAAAGAAGAAACGTCTTTCGCAGTCGGAGGAAGATGTCATCCGATTAATAGGACAACATCTCCACGGGTTAGGGCTAAAGTAAGTTTACGTGACGTAAAGGAAAAGCTCCTAACATGTCCAAGTACATGATTCATGAAATCTCATTTATTAGTGATAAAAAAAGAAAAAAAAAGAAGCAAAACTGCGTGGTGGTAGTTGATGAACACGGAATTCTGCGTTTGACAGACAAACATGGGCTGGGGGAGGGGGTAGTTAGCAAGCTAGTTTGAAGAAGAAGGGGTCCATTTTGCACAATACAGAGTGGTAGGTTGATAGTACCACTAGCCTTCGTAACGATTGTTATTCAGACATTTTATACAGAATAAAGACTCAAGACAGTTCACAATTTGGTTGGCTACCTTGACCTCACACCAATAACTGTTCAGTGTAACCTTATAGGGGCTAGTTGAACTGCGTGTTGTGAGTTGTATATATATTTTTTTACACGGATGGAAATCGCATTACATCACCTTGTAATCCATCGAAAGATGCTGCAAAATCCATAATGATTTGTGGTTACTAAGGATGTAAATGGCTATAGCCTGTCATTTGAAATGGCCTTATAGATTTGGCCTGTTTTATACTGTGGAGGCACTGTGGAACGTTAGAATAGTTGTCTGAAATGAAATGCCTGCGTTTTAGAGGATTGCGCAAAAGTGCGTAGGGAGAACAACGATACCCTGTTTGACAGCGTCGATTTGTTTTCGTTCTCCTGTATTTCCCATATTGTCCCTTTCGATGGCTTGGGTGTTTTCATGACATTGACATTTGATGTTTACAAAGAGAACATCGATAAAGGAGTTTACTTGATACGTTGCTGTAAAGTAGAAAAACAGACAGGGTCAGTGTTACTTTTGAAACCTTTTGAGCGGCGGTCGTCTTGAACAACAACCATGGTACAGCCCGTTAAACGAGTGGTTATATCTTTCGAACCGCGTATATTATTCTGACGTTATTGTCATATTTTTCTGCAAATAGCAGTCTGTCATCCATGTCAACAATGTCAGTAGTGTATGGACACAAAATCGCCATTTATAGCCCCAGATGCAAAGTCAGAGCGATGTTTAATTCGTTTTACCATTATTGGTGGAAATGGTGGCTCGTGAAGTAATCAGAACGGCTTCCCGGATAGGGTATGGTTTCATGGCGGCTGTGGAATGCGCGTCTATTCAGTTGTTTTAGATTAGAAACGTAGGTTGACGCTAATAATAGATTGAGCCTAGTAAACCCATCGGGACTCCTCAGTAACACAATATTTTGAGCCCTCCATGGCTATGTCACCATAATGGACTGTTAATGCAGTGTTTTGAGAGACCCAGCCTGCTACTGCTCGCCACTGACTGTGTGCCAGTGGAACTGCCATTACAGGAGCTGCTAAGACAGCCTGTTTGGTTATGTTTATATGGGGGATAAATACATGCATTGTCTGCTATGGAACTGACGCCCCTACGTTTCAAATGTGGAATGGAACGTGATAATGGTGTCCGAACTCATCAGGGTGATGCTGAAAACACTTCTGCACCACTCTCTTCTTTGATACCTGAGGATGATGTCATCATGCCATGGTGTCAGTACAGCCCACTCCATTTGATCATAGTCACCTTTTAAGCACACTAATAGAGATTTACAGAAAAGGCACTCACAGTTGACAGGTCTAGTCTAGAATTATAACTAATGCCACATCTCTTATTGCTGGATATGGTTTAGATTGTTATGCCCGTCTCTCCCTCTCTCCTGTGTCTGTCACTCTGGTATAACATATCAGGTCCATTGGCTGTCTTGTTGGCCAATGTTAAGCTGTTTTCTATAAACGTTTATGCAATTAATGTTTAATCCGTCTCTCCGTAGTCAATTGACTTTGGGCTGACATTTCAGTTCCTTTACATCTGTACGTTAATGTCTGTCTTGTTCTAATGTTCAGCTAACGTGTGCTGTAAACATTGAGGTAATGTTTCCCCACTCTCTTCTCTGCAGTCAAACAGTGGACCTGCTGATGCAGGAGTCGGGCTGCAGACTGGAACATACCTCAGCCACGAAGTTCCGCAACCACGTCATGGAGGGGGAGTGGGACAAGGTGGGTTCCAGGTTACCATAGTTACACCTGCACCTTTAATGTTATGCATAGCCTGCACACACCTACTTCGAGAGAGTACCCATAACATGGTTCTGTTACTAAGTATCGATCACATGTACAACACCAACATTAAGCTACATATGGAGTAAATAAACAGTGCTGTTCATAAACATTTGTGCCAATTAATAACATATTGGAACTCGTTGATGAAAATATATGTAGTTAAGTTCCTAGAAGGGATCTTTAAGAGTTGTTAGTGTAATTACTTTCTCTTCTACATTGCCACAGTACTCCCATTCCAAGAGCTTTGGGTTAAGGCTTGTAAAAATGTACATCATCTCTTTTTTAAATCCCATAAATGTACAGACATTACTGAGCATTATCTGAACTGTAGCCACAAAATGGCTTCACACACCATGATAATTACAGTTGTTGACTTCCTCCACTGAGAAAGAGTGTGGTTATTGTAGTGGTCAACTGTTTTGATTTGTCGTTTTTGTGGCTTGAAAGTGCTGAGCCAACTATTTGTCTCCCCTCCCTCTCTCTCTTTGTTTTGGTCCAGGCTGAGAATGATCTCAACGAGTTGAGGGCACTGATGCATTCTCCCAACGCTATTGTGGTAAGCCCAAACCTGACCTGAATGACAGTCATCAACGCAGTGAAAGGGGACCATGGGTTCTAGAACGGTTCTGTCCCCAACCTGACTGTTCTAGATTAGAAAGTTTCCCCTTTGTGAGGCGGATCCATTCTGACTGGAATTTCAAGTGTTCCGGAATGTCTTGGACGGACTGAGTGGAATGTTTACAACAGATATCCTCATATATGGGGGTATAATATCCTGCATTTAATAATTTGCTAGTCAGATGCTAAGTGTATGGTGTGTTTATCAGTAAAATGTTCCACCAATATTATTATTCAACAAAAGCACAGTTGTATAATCACATTGTTAGTGTTTAAATAATTTTGCATTATTAGTAGCTAGGTTTCATCCAATTGGCAACAGATTTTCATGCGAATATTCTAAAATCTGCATAAAGATAATATATGAATTTCCCCACTATTGGTGTGTTTCCGTCAAACTGACTTGTTGCAGATAAAAATCAGTGCGTGATGACTTAGTGCACACAAAATGTACTTTTTCGCTTAAGTTTTCATGTACGGAATAAAAATAGAATGTTCAATGTGTTTCCATCACATTTTCATCTCTACGGATAGTTTTGTCACAAACTGTTGCGTTAAATAGCAAATGTGCCCACTCTGGTCTTGGCACGTGCGCTCTAGCCAACAGCTCGCAGATACAGTGCAGGTAAGCTAGTCTACATGATGAGATTATGGAGATTTCTTTGTCAAAGCGGCAGTCAAGCATCGAACATCATGTCACCAGAATAAGACCCTCGACATTTATTGGAAAGGAGCATCAAACACATACCATGCACTTTCACTACACTGTGAAGTTCATCATAACTTATTTAATCTTTAGCCTAATTTAAACTGCATGATTTCCCGTGTCGTAGTGGGAGGACACACCATGTCATCGCTCGTGACTCCGAAGTTTACTTTGATATGATGGTTATATCAATTTTTGCTCGTAAAGGTGTTTCCGCCGCCATTTTTTGCGTAATTAATTTTAGTCACAAAAAGATCCCACCATGTCGAACAAACAAATTATCTGTCGGCATTTATACAATTTGAATGAAACTTCCTGTTTCCATCACTGCTGTCGTGATATTTTTTTTATACGGTATGAATTTAGTCTCATAAACACTGTAGATGGAAATGTGGTTAGTGAGTTCACCATAGATTATTCAGTCAACTGTATGTCTTGTATGTTTATTGTATATGATATCATATAATATCCATACATATTCTGGTGGAGCCCTGAGATTTGTCATTCAGCTGTTCTTCTAAGATTGTAAATGAGGGGAGTCGCCTCTACCATGGGTACAGCAAGTTTAGATGTCATCTAAAGAACACTCGGAGGACTGCAGCTAGGCTAAATGATGATAATTAGATCTAGCTAGCTCATAAGTAGACAGGATACATTTTAGTCATTTAGCAGACACTTATCCAAAGCGACTTAAAGTTAGTGCATTCATTTTAAGATGGCTAGGTGGGACAACCACATATCTCAATCATAGTAAGTACATTTTTCCTCAAAGTAGCTATCAGCAAAGTCAGTGCTAGTAGAATAAAAATGATAGATCTCAAAATGGTCTGCTGTGGCTTAGTCAAGCGCCTGTGGAGTTTTATTCTGGTCAACCAAAGGCTTGTTATTGCACAATCCATTTTAACTCCAGAGGTAGGCTATCCTAGTTTATGAATGTCTAATAACTAAGTTATTTTCTGCCCTGCCATATACCATGAAGGTATGCAAGATATGTCAAGCTGGAATGGCTGCTACTATGATTATGGTGAACACTTGACAATGGTAATTTATATGCCAGAGTCATGGTTATAATTGAAAAGGTCAAACCGTGTTGGTTCTTCTGGCAGGTTGTGTGTGTTGTGCGCTTGTGTGCCCACCACATGACACCAAGGCAGTGAGGTTTCTGGGGTTAAGCCAACGCCCCCCCCCAGTCTGGTAGCTGTGTGTGTGTCTGTCTGGGTGGGGTTATTCATGAGTGTGTGCTAAGGTGCCGGGAATCAGATCTCTTGCTCCGATACCTTCTGCCCCATGGTAAGGGAGAGAACGGCTTGTGTGTGGGGTCCTTGATGATGCTGCGTGCCTTCCTTGGGCACCATTTTGAGTAGATTTCCAGGATGGGTTGGAGCACGGTCCCAGTGATGTACTGGGCCATCTTCACCACCCGCTGGAGGGCCTTGCGGTTGTGGATGGCGCAATTCCTGTACCAGGCTGTGATGCAACGATAGTGCAGCGGTAGACGACCCAGGTCGGCATGCCGAACTTCTTCAGCCGCCTTAGGAAGTAGAGATGCTGTTGCGCCATCTTGACAAGAGTGGTGGTGTTTCATGACAATTGGACGCCGAGGAACTTAACTCGTGACTCTCTACCATTGATGTGGATCGGGGCATGTTCCCTCCTCTGCTTCCTGAAGTCAACAATCAACTCCTTTGTTTTGCTGAGTGAGAGGTTGTTGTCATGACACCACAATGCCAGTTCACTACCTCCTCCTTATAGGCTGACTCGTCATTGTTGGTTATCAGGTCAGCAAACTTGATGGAATTTGTTGTTTATAAAGTCACACAGTTGTGGGTGAACAGGGAGTACAGCAGAGGACTGAGGACACACCCCTGGGGGGCCCCTTTTTAAGACTCAGTGTGGAGAGGTGCCTGTTGTTCACACACGTATCTGCACAACTCTGATATAAAATAGTTTTTCTCAAAGTTGCCGGAATGCCACTTACATCAATACATTTGTAACAACCTAAACATGAAACTTCTATCCGATCAAATAAGCCTCACATAGCAAATTAGCAATAACATTTTATGTTGACCAAATTCAACACTCATTGATTGACCTTCATACCAATAATCCCCACTTCCTCTGCTTCTCGCTTTATTTTTGCTCTGACAGATTTTGGGGTGGAGTCAAGCCTCTCGCTTCGTCTCTTTCTCTCTGGTATGACTGCCTGCACCCTTTGAAGCACAGGATTAGAGTCATTGGCTGCGTCATGTTTTGAATGTATAAATGGGAAATCTGTTGGTCAGGTTTCTGGGCTCTACTTTTTTATGAAACCCTTTTATCACCATTTGCTCACTTCATTTGTTTCTCCTCTCCCTCCTTTTTACTCATCTTTTTCTTCCCCGCTTCCTGTCTCCATCTGCACTGCAACGTTCTGTTGTCCTACATAATGCCATATCTACCTCCCTCCTCCCCCTCTCTCAATTTCTCTCATTTCCTCACCTCTCTCTCTCTCTCTCTCTCTCTACCCCTCTCCCCCTCTCTCTCTGTAGCGTATGAAGTTCCTGCTCCTGCAGCAGAAGTATCTGGAGTACTTGGAGGACGGGAAGGTTCTCGAGGCTCTGCAGGTGCTCAGGGGAGAGCTCACGCCGCTCAAGTACAACACGGACCGCATCCATGTACTCAGCGGGTATGCCATTACCTATCAATCACTTTAATCATCTAATTATTCAATCGATCAGTGAACACACTTGCTCCACACAGTCAGTCAGTATGGCATTACTGTTCCTACCAATCATATCAATCCGCTGTCTGATCAATCTGTGCAAACAGCATCCTCAGTGGGTTTGCCTGTCTATCAATCACACCATTTTCATAAGTCAACACAAGTCAATCATCAACTGTTACGCTGTCGAATACATCTCTGACAGCATCCAAATATTCAGCGGGTAAATAAAATAATCAATCAATGAGTCAATACCAACTGCATCCGCATACTCTGTAAGTATGCCAGTCTGTCGCTCAAGCAGTCAATGGAAACCTACATTATCAGGAAAAACACAACCAACTTTGCATCAGTGGTTGATCAGTCACATTGTCCTAGTTCAATGTGGCTTTGGAGTAATAACCAGCGTATACAGTGTTATTACAGTTAATAAAACTGTTATTAGAGGTCATGGGCGGCAGGTAGCTTAGTGGTTAAGACCGTTGTGCCAGTAACCGAAAGGTCGCTAGTTCTAATCCCCGAGCCGACCTAGGTGAAAAATCTGTCGATGTGCCCTTGAGCAAGGCACTTAACCCTAATTGCTCCTGTAAGTCGCTCTGGATAAGAGCGTCTGCTAAATGACTAAAAATGTAAATGTAAAATGTCATGCATAACAGTGATGTACCCAGTGGAGTATGTTGTAGTCTGACTGGTTTTGTGTTGTGTAGGTATCTGATGTGTAGCCATGCAGAGGACCTGCGCGCCAAGGCAGAGTGGGAAGGCAAAGGCACAAACTCCCGCTGCCGACTGCTGGACAAGTTACAGAGTGAGAACATACCACATACCACCACTCACACACACATTATACCTCATACACAGGCACACACACACATTTTACTTAATATAAACACACAAATACAGTGGGGGAAAAAAGTATTTAGTCAGCCACCAATTGTGCAAGTTCTCCCACTTAAAAAGATAAGAGAGGCCTGTAATTTTCATCATAGGTACATGTCAACTATGACAGACAAAATGAGAAAAATAAATCCAGAAAATCACATTGTAGGATTTTTAATGAATTTATTTGCAAATTATGGTGGAAAATAAGTATTTGGTCAATAACAAAAGTTTCTGAATACTTTGTTATATTCCCTTTGTTGGCAATGACACAGGTCAAACGTTTTCTGTAAGTCTTCACAAGGTTTTCACACACTGTTGCTGGTATTTTGGCCCATTCCTCCATGCAGATCTCCTCTAGAGCAGTGATGTTTTGGGGCTGTCGCTGGGCAACACAGACTTTCATCTCCCTCCAAAGATTTTCAATGGGGTTGAGATCTGGAGACTGGCTAGGCCACTCCAGGACCTTGAAATGCTTCTTACGAAGCCACTCCTTCGTTGCCCGGGCGGTGTGTTTGGGATCATTGTCATGCTGAAAGACCCAGCCACGTTTCATCTTCAATGCCCTTGCTGATGGAAGGAGGTTTTCACTCAAAATCTCACGATACATGGCCCCATTCATTCTTTCCTTTACATGGATCAGTCATCCTGGTCCCTTTGCAGAAAAACAGCCCCAAAGCATGATGTTTCCACCCCCATGCTTCACAGTAGGTATGGTGTTCTATGGATGCAACTCAGCATTCTTTGTCCTCCAAACACGACGAGTTGAGTTTTTACCAAAAAGTTATATTTTGGTTTCATCTGACCATATGACATTCTCCCAAGCCTCTTCTGGATCATCCAAATGCACTCTAGCAAACTTCAGACGGGCCTGGACATGTACTGGCTTAAGCAGGGGGACATGTCTGGCACTGCAGGATTTGAGTCTCTGGCGGCGTAGTGTGTTACTGATGGTAGGCTTTGTTACTTTGGTCCCAGCTCTCTGCAGGTCATTCACTAGGTCCCCCCGTGTGGTTCTGGGATTTTTGCTCACCGTTCTTGTGATCATTTTGACCCCACGGGTGAGATCTTGCGTGGAGCCCCAGATCAAGGGAGATTATCAGTGGTCTTGTATGTCTTCCATTTCCTAATAATTGCTTCCACAGTTGATTTCTTCAAACCAAGCTGCTTACCTATTGCAGATTCAGTCTTCCCAGCCTGGTGCAGGTCTACAATTTTGTTTCTGGTGTCCTTTGACAGCTCTTTGGTCTTGGCCATAGTGGAGTTTGGAGTGTGACTGTTTGAGGTTGTGGACAGGTGTCTTTTATACTGATAACAAGTTCAAACAGGTGCCATTAATACAGGTAACAGGTGGAGGACAGAGGAGCCTCTTAAAGAAGAAGTTACAGGTCTGTGAGAGCCAGAAATCTTGCTTGTTTGTAGGTGACCAAATACTTATTTTCCACCATAATTTGCAAATAAATTCATTAAAAATCCTACAATGTGATTTTCTGGATTTTTCTTTCTCAATTTGTCTGTCATAGTTGACGTGTACCTATGATGAAAATTACAGGCCTCTCTCATCTTTTTAAGTGGGAGAACTTGCACAATTGGTGGCTGACTAAATACTTTTTTCCCCCACTGTACACCCGCTACGTCACCTACAGCTTCATGACACCTTATACATACAGTCACACAGGGCTTCACAGGGGTCTAGGGATGCGCTTCAGACTGGACTATAGTTTGACTCCTGTCTCTGGTCCTTCTCTCCAACCCACTCCCTCTCCAGCATACCTGCCCCCGTCGGTGATGCTGCCCCCACGCCGGCTGCAGACCCTGCTGAGACAGGCTGTGGAGCTGCAGAGGGACCGCTGCCTCTACCACAACACCAAACTGGACAGCAGCCTGGACTCTGTCACCTTGCTCCTGGACCACGTCTGCAGCCGGTCAGCAACACACTCAGGGTGACATTTTCTGCCAAACACAGCTGAAATGTGCAAAAAACTAGACAACCTGAAAACCTCTCCTTTTTATGATGCCTACTGTAGACATCGGTAAAGATGGAGGCAATAATTTATGCGGATATAAAGAAAAGCGTGTGTTTAAATACAGGGTCTTTGTGTATGATATAGAGCTTTCCTGACCTCTTGACCTGAACTGGAAAAACACAGAGCCCAGATCACTGTTGCATGTAATGCAATAGCGATCTGCAATATTTTTGGAATGCTACGTTGTTTTTTGATTTCAGAAATGTTGCGCGCTGCAAGAGTCGTAAAGTGAACCGAAAATATCACCCTCAATCGTTTACTAAATACATTTTATTTGTCACATGCTTTGTAAACAACAGGCGTAGAATAACAGTGAAATGCTTACTTACGGGTCCTTTTCCAACAATGCAGAGTTAAAGATACGTTAAATTTTTTTGTGGAAATAGCGCCACAAGGAATAAATGACAGTACTAACTCCCTCCCATCAGTAGTCTCTCTATCCTCCACTCTCTTCACCCCTTTTATTTGAGCCTTTGACCTTGGTTGACCTCTCTCCTGGTTGGCCCCGTCCACAGGAAGCAGTTCCCGTGCTACACACAGCAGATCCTCACAGAGCACTGTAACGAGGTGTGGTTTTGTAAGTTCTCCAACGACGGCACCAAGCTGGCTACCGGCTCCAAAGACACCACCGTCATCATCTGGCAGGTGGACCCTGTGAGTACCACACTGAGCCCATATCCCCCACACCATCTGCTGTGTACATTCCCACTATATGCCTTATAGGAGTCGTCATCTGCTGCATACATGTCAAAGATAGCCACCATCTACTGTCTTTCCATTAGTGCTTTACTCTAACCCAGAGCCTGGTGTCTGTGTGTGTGGTGTCTAGGAGAGCTACCAGTTGAAGCTGCTGCGGACCTTAGAGGGCCATGCCTACGGTGTGTCCTACCTGGCCTGGAGCCCCGACGACGCCTACCTGATCGCCTGCGGACCCGATGACTGCTCCGAACTCTGGCTCTGGAACGTCCAGGTATGGCAACACACACGTACACACACCCCGCCCGGCGAAACAGTATGTTAGTGCTGATGTAAAATGAGTACAGGCATACACTGCAGCTGTCCAGGACAAGGATTGATTGATTGATTGATGGAATTAAATGGAAACCCATCAATTCATGTAATTTATTGGTCATAGAGTCCCTGATTTAGATGGGGCCTGTTAAAAACAGTGATGCAGTAGGCCTCCAGGTTGGGAACTCTTCAGTGTCTGTGTAGTTACTGAGTGGTGTTTGTCCCCTGGTGGGCAGACGGGGGAGTTGCGGACCAAGATGAGCCAGTCCCACGAGGACAGTCTGACCAGTGTGGCCTGGAACCCTGACGGGAAACGCTTCGTCACAGGGGGACAGAGGGGACAGTTCTACCAGTGTGTAAGTATTGTTATAGAAGGATGTGTGTATTAGTGTGTTCTACCAGTTTGCTGTGTGTGATCTATCCACCAGATATACAAGTGTCAGTTGGTTCTTCTAGTTTGTCCTGCCAGTGTGTGAGTAGTGGGGAAAGTACAGGGTGATGCATACACTACGGGGAGCAACTAATACAGTTCAGTAAATGGGCAGACTGCTTTTAGATATGCACCTTCACTTCTTATTGATTAGCTGACTAGACAAGTACCTGCTGGCCTTCAGAAAAGAGACTGTCAGGATCTAGTGTGTTACAAACTGTGTATTTGTGTGTCTGAATCTGTCTGTGCCTGTGTGTCTGATTTTCTACCTGTTTCTGGCCTGTGTGTCTGATTGATTGATTGATTCCCAGGATCTGGACAGTAGCCATTTGGAACTATGTATTTAATTGATTGATTGTTGTGTTAATGGTAGGACCTGGACGGTAACCTGTTGGACTCGTGGGAGGGCGTGCGTGTGCAGTGCCTCTGGTGTGTGGGGGACGGCAGGACGGTGCTAGCGTCAGACACTCACCAGCGGATCCGGGGTTACAACTTTGAGGACCTAACGGACAGAAACATGTGAGGGCTGCGGTTTCTCCCCGTGCCAGATCAGAATTTACCCTCCTGACTATTAATCAGTAGATTAACAAAACATTTTGTTCAGAAATCTTAGTAATAAATGGTTTATACATGCATAATGAATACATTAACAAATTATACATGATGAATTACTAACTGTTTACTACTTTTATTCATGTTTTATAAGTAGTTTATTAACAGACCTCTAAAGGAAGCATTACTGAACCAAGTAATACCTTCAGAATGACTAATCTTACAATAAAAATAGCCTATATACAGTTATCATTGAACAGAACACAGATCAGTGATTGATCATCTCTGTTGTGAATTTCTCTTTTACAGAGTTCAGGAGGACCATCCTATCATGTCTTTCACTGTTTCCAAGAACGGAAGATTAGCTTTGTTAAATGTAGCAACTCAGGTGAATGGGGAGAGGGTGCTATACTTGAACACTGAAAGGACTGTACCGGCGGTATTCTGTGTGTCTCTCTGTGTGTGTGTGTGCGCGCGTGCAGGCAGGCTTTGGGCTAGTGTCTGTTTGTGTGAGGGAGATTGAGGAGTAGGAGAATGTACCAGTGCTAATGGCTGTGTTTAGTGTCTAACTGCTCCCTCTCCTTCCTCCCCTCCTCCCTCCATTCTCCCCCCACAGGGAGTGCATCTTTGGGACCTGCAGGACCGAGTATTGGTAAGGAAGTACCAAGGTGTGACCCAGGGCTTCTACACCATCCACTCCTGCTTCGGAGGCCACAACGAAGACTTCATTGCCAGCGGCAGCGAAGGTACTACCCACAGACCCAACAGCAGCCATTTTAGGCACAGCTACTCCTCAAGCTCAGGATTAGTGTTGTAGTTGTTATTGAGCCCAAAAACAAACGTGTTCACCACTGTATCCCTCACTATGGGTGCGTCCCAATTATCGATGTGTCCATCTCTCAAATACATAAGCACTCAAATACAGCTACTTTGTCAGGGACTTTGACTTGCAGCATATCATAGGAAGGTTTATAAAAGGCTGATATTTTCTATGTTATACCATTGTACCCCTCTCCTTCCTCCCCGTCTCTTACCCTCCCCCTTCTCCTGCCTCCCCGTCTCTTACCCTCCCCCCTCTCCTTCCTCCCCGTCTCTTACCCTTCCTCCCTCCACCTTTCCTCCCCGTCTCTTACCCTTCCTCCCTCCACCTTTCCTCCCCGTCTCTTACACGTTCTTCCCTCCTCTCTCCCCTTCTCCCCCCCCCCCCCCCCAGACCATAAGGTGTATATCTGGCACCGACGCAGTGAGCTGCCCATCGCTGAGCTGACGGGGCACACTCGCACAGTCAACTGCGTTAGCTGGAACCCCGCCATCCCAGGCCTCATGGCCTCTGCCTCGGACGACGGCACTGTGCGTGTCTGGGGCCCCGCACCCTTCCTCGACACACAGGTGGTCGACGGGCTCAACGGTAACTACCACTAGCATTTTGTTAGTTCAATGGCCGTAGTAAGGCCGTTAGTTCAATGGCCGTAGTAAGGCCGTTAGTTCAATGGCCGTTAGTTCAATGGCCGTAGAAAGGCCCAAAGTTTTACAGGTACTTACAATACCGTTCAAAAGTTTGGTGTCACTTAGAAATGTCCTTGTTTTTGAAAGAAAAGCAAATTTTTTGTCCATTAAAATAACATCAAATTGATCAGAAATACAGTGTAGACATTGTTAATGTTGTAAATGGCTATTGTAGCTGGAAACGGCTGATTTTGCAAAGAAAAAGCCATATCTCAGACTGGCCAATAAAAAGAAAATATTAAGATGGGCAGTCTGAGATATGGCTTTTTCTTTGCAACTCTGCCTAGAAGGTCAGCATCCCGGAGTCGCCTCTTCACTGTTGACATTGAGACTGGTGTTTTGCGGGTACTATTTAATGAAGCTGCCAGTTGAGGACCTGTGAGGCGCCTGTTTCTCAAACTAGACACACTAATGTATTTGTCCTCTTACTCAGTTGTGCACCGGGCCCTCCCACTCCTTTTTCTAATCTGGTTAGAGCCAGTTTGCGCTGTTCTGTGAAGGGAGTAGTACACCGGGTTGTACGAGCTCTTCAGTTTCTTGGCAATTTCTCGCATGGAATAGCCTTCATTTCTCAGAACAACAATAGACTGACGAGTTTCAGAAGAAAGTTATTTGTTTCTGGCCATTTTGAGCCTGTAATCGAACCCACAATTGCTGATGCTCCAGATACTCAACTAGTCTCAAGAAGGCCAGTTTTATTGCTTCTTTAATCAGCACAACAGTTTTGCAAAAGGGTTTTCTAATGATCAATTAGCCTTTTAAAATGATAAACTTGGATTAGCAAACACAATGTGCCATTGGAACACAGGACTGATGGTTGCTGATAATGGGCCTCTGTACGCCTAGGTAGATATTCCATTAAAAATCTGCTGTTTCCAGCTACAATAGCCATTTACAACATTAACAATGTCTACACTATTTCAGATCAATTTGATGTTATTTTAATGGACAAAAAAAAATGCTTTTCTTTCAAAAACAAGGACATTTCTAAGTGACCCCAAACTTTTGAACGGTAGTGTAAGTCACTCTCATCTCTCCCCAGAGAACTGCAGTAACATGGACAGTTGATGGTGACGTTGGAATGGAAAACTTCTTCTCTTTTACAACAAGAAATACAACCAACCGACAACAAATAAACATCAAAACGAGAATGAAATCCCAACACCTGACGAAACAAAAAAGAGAAAACAAAAGTAAATCAGTTGTCTCATGACCTGGCAAAACTATGGAGGTGAGGATGAACACACTCTTACAAAACCAGGTCTTCATCCAGAACCAGTGGCCTGGAAGACCAGTGACCTGGGAAACCGAGCCGATCCATTGGTACTCCCTGCTGACTTCCTCTTCCTCCACCCCCCCCCCCTTTTTCTTAGCAAGGCCACACCAGGGGCTCTCCCCTGAATATTCCCCTGGAAACCCACCTCTTCACTGGGCCTCAGGCCCAGCGTCACGCCCCTGACCCCTTCAGACAGCCATTACAGACCATCTACACTGATTGGACCGCGTCTGTCATCTGTCTCTCTCTCACCTACCTGTGTATGTCCGTGGGGAGGGGGGGTGGGGTGTTAAAAGGGGTGGAGGGGGTTATAGTAACTCTTCAGTTTATTCGTTTTTCTGTTCTCCTTCCTCTTCTCGCTCCTTTCTTCGCACTTGAGTTGTTGGACGAACGCAGAAAATCAACACAAAACCAACCAACCGACAAAGAAAAACGCAAAGGCTATGCTTACTTTGGATTTTTTTGTTGTTGATAGTCATAGCATTCTTATTGTTATCATTTAACAGGTGAATCCTAGGTTTGAACTAGGAGTAATGGCCGTGGAGTGCTTTAGTGTGAAGAATGCTCTCTCAATTAGGAAAAGCTCTTTTTATCCCTTGTTTAAAGTCTGTAACACGGACACATTCGCTCCAATGTCCCCAGAGTCTCACCCTCTAACTCCCCCTATCTCCCCCCCTCCCGCTTCTGAGTTTAAGCTATCAACTGCACAGCTCACAGTTCCATTAGATCTGCCTGTTGGGAGGGGGTAAAGGTCAAGGGGAAAGGTCAGCTGTCAAAGGTGAGAGGTCCGTGGTAGCTGGTGTAGTGTGGTTGGGTCTCCGCTGCAGGGCCAAGTGTGAAGCAGTCCTCGTGTTGAGTAGCTCTAAGAAGGACATACTCTTGGATGTAGAGGTCTGTACATGCAACTATTGCAGTACACTGAGGACTGCACCACCTGTGTGTGTGCTTTTGTGTGTGTATGGGTACACTTCCGTGTGTTTGTTTAGGTGAGTGAATGCAGGTGCATGCAGACGTGTATGTGTGTGTGTGTGTGTGTGTATTCACACCAGCAGAAGATCATGCTTTCCCCTCCTCCCCAAGTGAAATTGTAAAGAAGATTTTAATCCCATTCAGAGTTAATCCAAAGCCCCAGAGCGACCTCTATCTGTGGAACAAAGAGTACTTGAGAGCCATTTTGTATAAACTATTTTTTTTAAACTGGGGCTTTTCTTTTTACATTTGACTTTGCTTTTTTATATTTCTCCTTAACACCACCCACCATTGGAATGGCACTGAGATACCAGAGTTGGATCAGTTTTGTGGGAAAATTAAAAGAGAAAAAAAGAGGTGAATGACGTGACTTTCTAAAGAGCTGTAAACTGTTGTAAGCAAAGGCTCATTTCATATGAGTAGGTGTTATTGATTGTACCGTTGGAAACAGATGTTTAATGTTTTGCGTGTATGAAAAGGAAGAGCCACACATTCACAGCTTTACATAGTTTTCCCCTTAACACAATCACCCCCGCCTCTCCCCCCAGACACACCCACATGTACACCCAAAACACACTGCTGCACTTTGAGGTCTACCCCAAGTCACACCTACAAATGCTCAATTCCAATATGATCACCTGCTCTTAGCCCCCAGTCTGACAGGACTGGATAGGTATAGGCAAGGTCATATGGATTAAGTGATCATATTGGAATCTGGCTCACGCCACACTTCCATGCACCCTACACAGTACACAGTAGTACAGCATTATTGATGTTAATGATACAGAACCAAACACAACCTCCCACATATACACAGGCATAGCTGCTTCATCTTACATAGGCTTACAGCCCTTACGGAGCAAGACTGATTTCTGCACAACACCCATTTCTCTCCAGCCAAGTCCTCCTTATCAGTGGTGAAGGCACCATACAGAGCTTTCTTCCTCCTGATTCAGGGTATGTAATGACTTTGCTATGGACTGATATTAAATGTTTAAAAAGAACGCTTTTCTGTCAGTTTTTATGAAATATTTTGTTACTTTCATTTTTTGTTCTCATATCATTTCATTCTCTCCCTGTATTATCATATTAAAATATAACCAGACAACTGGTGTCCTCATTTTTTAAATTCTTCTTATGATTTGTTTTGTCTCTTGGGTTCTCTTGGGTTTTTACTTATCCACTACTTCTTACATATTAGTAGTGAATATGCACATTAACACTCATGCAAATATGAGTGGTTGAGTTATGCTTTGGGAGTGTGTTACCTTGTAAGAATCCGTTTTAAAATGTCCACCCCTCACCTTTTAAAAGAGACTCCTTGTACAGTGATTCAATACTCGCGTCTCTGTGGAATAAATCCAGGGAAAAAAATCTCGCTTTTTTTTGTGCCACTGTTGGTTGCGTTTGCCATTTCTACCCTTACCAAAATCAAAACACTTGACTCCATAGTGGCTCTGTAGGTGTGTGTGTGTGATTCCATGTTCTGAGTTTCACATTCTGGGATTGCGCTTTTCTCTATTCTAGAACCATCCATCTCTTGGACCCCTGAGTGGACTTGAACTGCCCATCCACACCTTATGTCATGTCTGAAGAGTTGAGGCAAATAAAAAGTGAAGAACCCAAAAGCTTTCACAAAGTTATAATTAACTTGCTGGTGACATATGTTATGCCTGTATGCAACTTGGTGTCTACTCTGTTCCTTTGTCTTGGAGTTTCTAGGATGGTTTATGATTTGATGCTAATAACTATCTTATTTCTCTCTCTGGGGGTGGTGGGGCTGGCTTGGGGAGTAAGGGTTTACGGTAGCAGTTTAAAAGAGTAGTTGGGGGACGGGGACCTGTTTGCGTTAAATGTTTTATTTACAAAAGTGATTGTACTGTTTTGTATCGTTGTGTAGGAGAAGTGTTGTGTGTGTGCATATTTTCAATAAAGCATTCAGGGTTTTGAAAAAGAGCTGTGGCCCAAAATAGAAGTATCAAGGGGCTGGAGCATAGATAAAGTATCAGTTTACATTATCCAATCCTATCCACAGTTCCCCATAATCATGATGGAGTACAGAGCTAAATTGACCTTAGATTTGTGTAAAGAGGCAACATTTCACGACAGACTTTAGAGGAAAGTTTGACTTCTCAGACTGAAAGGAGCTCTCCATTTTCCTGTTTAACTTTGTACTGTTGACTGGTTCACACACTTGAAATTGTGATGAGATTTGGTGTAATTCAGAGAAACAGCATGGCAGCAAAGAGGCATAGTTGTGTGCCCATCAGAGGGGATCAAATGCCACATTTAGGATAAACAAGAACTGTTACCAATAAAATGTGACTATTTTAATTTAACAATCTTGTTTGAAATACATTTCTAATTTGAGGTCATTTTCTCCATTTATTATACAGGTCCATTCCTCTTTACATTAGCTCAAACACCGCCACCAGGTGGGAAATTATATGCTTGCAATAACATTTTCCACAGCATTTTATGTACATAACATAGCCTACATACAACAAAGTCTGTGGTTCAATGTCGAAATACCCAAGACAATATTCAGCGGTTATTCATTTGTTTTACCTTTAACCTCCAGTTTGCAACAATAGGGGAAATATGCCAAATGTGCATTTTAACTTAGAATCCTGTAAGGCAAGCTACTGACCACAGTTACATACGTGAAGATAAAAGAGTAAAATTACATAGTTTAAAACGTTCTAATACTATGATAAAATATTGAAACGATAACCCCCAAAAACACCTTCAAAAGCCATGTTTGTTTTGCTCTTCCATCGAAGAGGCGGCAGGTAGCTTAGTGGTTAAGAGCGTTGTGCCAGTAACCGAAAGGTCGCTGGTTCTAATCCCCGAGCCGACTAGGTGAAAAATCTGTCGATGTGCCCTTGAGCAAGGCACTTAACCCTAATTGCTCCTGTAAATCGCTCTGGATAAGAGCGTCTGCTAAATTACTAAAATGTAAAAATGTAAGAGGAGGGATGCCCACCACGCGTGACGTCAGCAGAGGCAGATACCTCTAGCTTCTTCTCCATGTTTATCATCCGCGCATCCGATATCGACGAGGATAGAGCACCATCCAGGGTCAGGGCAGCCGAACCGAATCATGGCGGCGCCGTTAGCCCACTTCGATGAAGACTGGCAGGATTTCAACGAATTCAAGGCGGCCTCCGGGTCGCCGAACCGACTGGACCATCTGAACTCGAACGTAGCTGACACGGGGTTGGTGGAGGATTTCTCGGACCTCGACAACAGCTTCTCGGGGGAGATATGCAGCTTCAAGTCAATGGAGGACCTTGTCCACGACTTCGATGAGAAGCTGACAGTTTGCTTCCGAAATTACAACACTAAAACTGAAAACATAGCCCCCATTAAACCTATCACAGAAGATAATTTCCTCAAGGACGACGAGTGAGTGTTAATTTTGTGCTACTTTATTACTTTAGCATTGTTAACCTAGCATCTGAAATCAGTTTTTGCCAAACTAGTTAGTAGTTAGCCTACCATTGCTAACGTTAGTCTGCTGCTAGCGAGCCATTTAAACAACATGGTTGTTAGCTAGATAGCGAGCCAAGGTTGTGTTGAATGCATGTGACACGTAAATGTAACTAAGAAAATCAGGACTTCAGGACGAGCCTTCAAGAGGTTACATTTGTATATTGTTGCTAGCAGTTAGCTACAACACATTAACGTTAACTGACCTTTGTTTTCAATATAGCTAGCTAGTTACCCAACTTTAGTTTGTAAACAACTTGATATTTGCATTGCATGATTTCCTTCAGTCCCTCCTTTCATAAGTGACTTCAAAATACTAGACTACCTGTGTCTCGTGCATTAGCTATGTACACTGCAATTCATTTTCCTAATTCTGGAACTGTAGCTAATTATTGTACTGAATACTGACTTTCGAGTCATCCGAGTCTGTCTAAACTCAGGACAGAAAGGAGTCCGGGCTGTTCTCTATTGACGCACTGCCGATGAACCACATCTTCATTGATTCACTGTGACATTTTAAACAAATTAAAACACATACACAGAGGTAAATCTTTGTAATTGTTATTGAAAGGGCACGCTTCAGCTCAGATTGTGTGATGGACAGCGTTTATAAAACCAGTGATCTGTAGTGTAGAGGACATCTGAACTCAACCCTCCTCTTCACCCCCTCAACTTGCTCTATACACACAACCTACACATAAACACATAGTCGTATGCACACACCAAGATCGTGTCAGTTGATATTGGCAGCCCTATATGTTGTTTCAGTTGCTCTTGAGTCAGGTCCAAAGAATCTTGGGGGAAACACTGTACCCTTTTACAATAAGATGAGGCCCATACTTAGGCCTAAACTAAACAATCCATGTTATCTTAGAATGTTTTTAAAAATAATATTATAAACCAGGTGGTTCGAGCCCTGAATGCTGATTGGCTGAAAGACGTGGCATATCAGACCGTATATCATGGGTATGACAATTACTTTTTACTGTTCTAATTACATTGGTAACCAGTTAATAATAGCAATAAGGCACCTCCTCGGGTTTGTGGTATATGGCCAATATACCACGGCTAAGGGCTGTATCCAGGCACTCCGGGATGCGTCCTGCGTAAGAACAGCCCTTAGCCGTGGTATATTGACCATATACCATACCTCCTCATGCCTTATTGCTTAAGTAACACATGCTGTAACAAAGGTAGCTAGGGTATCACTATAATAAAGACTTGTGGAGATGGCAGAGGATCTGTTAGCCTGTGATGTTGGTCTATGTATGACTCATCATCATGTTCCGACTACAGTATAGTCAGTGTCTTCTCCCTAAAATGGCCTCCTGGTCTGTCACACTCAATCAAATCAAATCAAATCAAATTGTATTGGTCACATGCGCCGAATACAACAGGTGCAGACATTACAGTGAAATGCTTACTTACAGCCCTTTGGAATGTCATTTCAGGGAAAAGAAAGAATTCAGACATACACAGGAGAGAAACAGGGGTACATGCACATCAACTGTTTGCGAGGTGCCAAAATAGGCCAGGTGAGTGTTGTGGTGTGAGAAAAGATGGGTGGAGGGGGAGTTTGGTAAAACTGTAACTAGGAGCTGAAAGACGCAAGGATGGGTGGGGGGTCCTAAATGAGGATGCCTATTGGTAGGACATGCTTGCTCTAACAGCTTCTGGGCTAAGACCTGTCAAGCGGACCTAACTGGCACTGCAGACCGAACGTGCGTGGTGTTAATCCGAATGTCTTTGGGGGTTTGCAGATCATTTTCCTTGGTTAGGGGCCTCTAAGGAACACCCTGGTATAGAGCCCTGAGGCAGGAGGCTTGCTTTATGTCATGGGCGGTGCATACCTGTAGTGTGTAGTGGCCGAGCAATCCAGCATGATCAAGCGTCAGCCACGGTCCGAAGGTCCTGCGATTGCATTTTGAGGGACCTACCCATGCCAAATCTTTTTAGTCTCCTGAGGGGGAATAGGCTTTGTCGTGCCCTCTTCACGACTGTCTTGGTGTGTTTGGACCATGATAGTTTGTTGGTGATGTGGACACCAAGGAACTTGAAGCTCTCAACCTGTTCCACTACAGCCCCGTCGATGAGAATGGGGGCGTGCTCAGTCCTCTTTTTTTTCCTGTAGTCCACAATCATCTCCTTTGTCTTGGTCACGTTGAGGGAGAGGTTGTTTTCCTGGCACCACACATCCAGATCTCTGACCTCCTCCCTATAGGCTGTCTCATCGTTGTCGGTGATCAGGCCTACCACTGTTGGGTCGTCGGCAAACTTAATGATGGTGTTGGAGTCGTGCCTGGCCATGCAGTCATGGGTGAACAGAGAGTACAGGAGGGGACTGAGCACGCACCCCTGAGGGGCCCCCGTGTTGAGGATCAGTGTGGCAGATGTGTTGTTACCTACCCTTACCACCTGGGGGCGGCCCGTCAGGAAGTCCTCAATACAGATACAGGTGTGACAATTGGTCATAATATCAATTTCCAGGGAAAGAGAGAAAGGAATTCACGCACACATACACACAGAGAGAGAACATGTATATACAGCACACACAGACCTAGTTTTGCAGTGCCAATGGACCAGGGTGAAGTGTGTGTGTGTGAGGGAAACAGAGGATGGAGGTGGAGGGGGGAGTTTGGACAGAAGCCTGAGCTGGGCTGAAAGAGCAGTGCACTGAGGGCAGGGGAGTCCTTTCATGAGTGACTGCCCTTTTGGAGGACATGCCTTGCCTCCTAACAAGCTCTAGCTGGCTAATGACCTAGCTCCAAGCAGAGACTCACAGCGAGGATGACATGAAGACCGGAAGGAGTGTGTGTTTATATTCCCGAATGTGCTTTTGGGAAAAGTTTCAGGATAACTTTCCTTGGTGTAGGAGGACAGAAGGAGAACTACTCATGAAGCTACATAGAGCCACTGGCCACAGAGAGGCTTGTTTATGCAGGGCGTGTGTGTGCATTGTTGACGGCCTGAGAATAGCAATGCCATGATCAAAGGGTGACACAGCCACAGGGCCAAAGCGGTTCCTGCTGGCATTGCCCAATTTTAGGGAACATATCCCAAAACGGTGTGTGTTGTTAATGGTAATAATGCAGTTTTTTGTTGTTGTATATTTTTTAGTGGGTAGATCAGCTTTAATATTGCAGATAGATTGAAACTTCCATCAATGTAATTGTCTGCATCACTTCCAATCCCCTGTATGTTTTTTCTCTCGCAAATATATATGTATACATATACACATGCATACATATGCATACATACATATCCTTTAATAAAATGTATTTTCCTTTATTTCTTTCCAAGCCCACCATAATGCTGTGTTAGTGAGAGAGCAAGAGTGAGGGAGAGACTGGGGTTATGTGAATAACACATGTCTTCATTGGAGTGTGTGGGTAGCAATCTCTCTGATGCAAAGCCTTTCTGACACATGGGTTCACAATGCCCATCCTCTCATTGCTCGCAGCAGTCAGGGTTAGACAGACGCACACACACTCAAACTCGCATGTATCTTACGCACAACACATTCTTATCCTCACATGTATCTTACACACGCTCACTCCAATTGAGTAGCAGTATCTATGTACAAAATGGAAGAAAGGTCCATGAAAATGTATTTTCCTGTAGCGCAAAGCCCTTTTAAGAAAGGACTTGGACAATATATTTGGCATTGAAAAATCATTAGGCTGTTGAGAAATGCTAGATTCCTGTGCTGTTAGCAGCGGGCAGAGAGAGACGAGCTGTGTCAGAGACAGAAGTGGTGTGTGGGTGGCTGGTGAGAAAAGTTGATGATAAACAACTGATGAAGTGTCAGTGGGGGAAGGTTTTTTTGTGCTGTGAATTAAAATGTTCTGTCTTTCTTCCTTTCTTTCTACCTCCATTGTTCTCCTTTAATTCTCCCCCACTTATTCTTCTCTCATCACCCTCTCTTTCTCTTCATTCCCCTCACCATCTTCCTCTTTCACCCTTCTTTCCCTCTCTCTCTCTCCCCCTCAGGGTGTGGAATGCTCTGACCGATAACTATGGCAACGTGATGCCAGTGGACTGGAAGACATCTCACATTCGCTCCCTGCATCTCCCCACACTCAACCTCCGTGAGCAGGGGGTAAGACACACACACACACACACACACACACACACACGGTCTGCACCTCCTAGGGCGATATGGCCTAAAAATCATATGTCGATTTTTTTTTTTCTCCAATATTTTTTCAAACGATATACATCTCGATTTTTGAAATGTTTTCTCTAAGCTTTGTTGTACAATAAAGGTGAAATACACTGCATTTCAACAGTCAGCAATAATGTAATGAATTCAAGGCTTGTGAAATTATACCTAAGCTTAATATAAGCCTTCCACAACTATAGGACCCACTAACATATAAAAAGAAAAAGAAAATCAAAATAGTTTAACCCTGCTTTTTTTGCTATAATCAATGATCTGGCATTCAAGTCTGTCTATGAAAATGTCCTTTTTGTAAAAAATTTAACCAGAACCATGCATAATGCACATTCACTAAAAATGGCTAACATCTTGTAGCAGGCATTATAGAAAATTAATACAGGTCTCATAAACAATATCTCAAGCACAAGCCCACGTGCTAGTGACTAGCCAGCTACGTTTTATATTTAAAATGTAGCCAACTTGGATCTGTTTGCTAGCGAACAAGGTAGAATTGTTATGAACACACCCTTCTGTCCATCTCCAACTGTTTGAACAGCATGCTAGCCTGTCCATTTTGTTCAGATGTTGAAATCAAGTGGCCTACCTTATTTCTAAGAGTGAGAACGAGTTGACAATTCCTTATATAATTGTGTTTTATGCTTATTGCAGATTTATAAACCACAGAATAGACAGCTAGTATATCAGTCTTTGGCTACAATGCTGCTAGTGGTACGTGGTAACGCAATGCCACGCACGACAAACTGAGCATACATTTTCCAGAATCAATGTTCATTGATATTCCTGTTTTAGTAGTGTCTGCTCTGTGTTTTTTGAGGAGTTAAGACATAAAAAGGGTATTGTTAGAAAGGGTAACTTCTCTATTACAGTAAAATAATGTCTCAATGTGTTTTGGTGTCCATATGACCGATTCTGTTGGACAATGCCTTGAATGCAAATAGCGAGTTGAACCCGCTTGTCAGAGAGGAACAAGTGATCTATCATCTTTGTTGTTGTGAGTGGTAGGGGGAGGGGCTTGGAGTGTGTGTGTGTAAATGGGAAGGTGCACACAGTACAGAAGGAGCGAAGGAGACGAGACCAAAAAGACAACATGAAAACAAAAGGACATAAACGCTCTTAAAAATGAAAAATATAGGCATTTGGAATATCGCGCTAGAATGAATTTGATATATCGCCCTAGCACCTCCCTACTCTCTGTACACTTTCCCCCGCTCAGCCTCCTAGAACCAAGCTGACTCGCATCCCCCTTTTTGCTCTCTCTCACCCCATCTCTCTGTCCCTCTGCTCTCTCCCTCCCTCTCTCTCTCTGATGGACAGAAGCTGGACAACATGCCTCTGGACCTATCTGATGATGAGGAGCTGAGGGAACAGATGGACATGCACTCCATCATCGTGTCCTGCATCAACGACGAACCGCTCTTCACCGTCGAGCAGGTACACACACACGCTTGCTCTTTCTGTCACGTCTCAAATACACCACACACACTCCTACTTACAAAGCCACACTCATAGTAACACACAACCCTGTGTGTGTTGCAGGTGATCGAGGAGATTGAGGAGCTGATGGAAGAGTCTCCAGACCCAGAGGATGATGAGAGCCCGTCCCAGTCAGACCTGTCCATGCTCTCCCAAGACCTCAGCAACCTCAAACGCTCCAGCTCCAACACCAGCTATGAGGACCGTGAGTTACTCCTAACTCTCATCTAAATCCCTAACAACTCAAGTGTAAACAGCTCTGTGCAGCTCCATTACACAACTCTGGACATATATACAACTGGACAGCAGATACAGGCTCACAGTAGCATTGTTACGTAATATACATTAGATACAACTGGACTGCAGATACAGGCTCATTGTTGCGTAAGAGACATTAAATACAACTGGACAGCAATTACTGCATGTTTGTTATGTAACTTGTAAATGCACATCAAATCAAGCCTTAATGCAAACATTTGTGACTGACCTCGTAAGTGTATGTTAGTATGTGATACCCCCAATGTGAAAATGTGATATGTCAAGGCCTATTTAAGTATGTGTTTAAGTTGTTCTAACCCCCAGGCCTGCATCGTCTGTCAGTCTCCGAGCTGAGCGAGGCCTTGGAGGAGGTGGAGACAGCCATCAGGCGCTACAGTGAGGAGCTGATACAGGCCCTGGCCCTGAGGGACGAGCTGGACTTTGAGAAGGAGGTGAAGAACAGCTTCATCTCGCTGCTCATCGACGTGCAGAACCGGCAGAAGGAGCACCGCGAGCTGCTCCGCAAGAAGAAGAAGATCAGGCCCACAGGCAGCAATCCGAGGGCAGACAGGACACACGTCCCTGGGACGGTGAGAGAGAGAGGGGGGTGATAGACACAGATTCATACATAGTATTGTATACATTGAAATCCATATAATGCACATTGTGCTGCATACAGTGAGGGGAAAAAGTATTTGATCCCCTGCTGATTTTGTACGGTTGCCCACTGACAAAGAAATGATCAGTCTATCATTTTAATGGTAGGTTTATTTGAACAGTGAGAGACAGAATAACAACAAAAAAATTCAGAAAAACGCATGTCAAAAATGCTATAAATCGATTAGCATTTTAATGAGGGAAATAAGTATTTGACCCCTCTGCAAAACATGACTTAGTACTTGGTGGCAAAACCCATGTTGGCAATCACAGTGATCAGACGTTTCTTGTAGCTGGCCACCAGGTTTGCACACATCTCAGGTGGGATTTTGTCCCACTCCTCTTTGCAGATCTTCTCCAAGTCATTAAGGTTTCGAGGGTGACGTTTGGCAACTCGAACCTTCAGCTCCCTCCACAGATTTTCTATGAGATTAAGGTCTGGAGACTGGCTAGGCCACTCCAGGACCTTAATGTGCTTCTTCTTGAGCCACTCCTTTGTTGCCTTGGCCTTGTGTTTTGGGTCATTGTCATGCTGGAATACCCATCCACGACCCATTTTCAATGCCCTGGCTGAGGGAAGGAGGTTCTCACCCAAGATTTGACGGTACATGGCCCCGTCCATCGTCCCTTTGATGCAGTGAAGCTGTCCTGTCCCCTTAGCAGAAAAAGATTGTAGGTCTACAATCTTGTCCCTGACATCCTTGGAGAGCTCTTTGGTCTTGGCCATGGTGGAGAGTTTGGAATCTGATTGATTGATTGCTTCTGTGGACAGGTGTCTTTTATACAGGTAACAAACTGAGATTAGGAGCACTCCCTTTAAGATTGTGCTCCTAATCTCAGCTCATTACCTGTATAAAAGACACCTGGGAGCCAGAAATCTTTCTGATTGAGAGGGGGTCAAATACTTATTTCCCTCATTAAAATGCAAATCAATTTATAACATTTTTGACATGCGTTTTTCTGGATTTTTTTGTTATTCTGTCTCTCACTGTTCAAATAAACCTACTGTTAAAATTATAGACTGATCATGTCTTTGTCAGTGGGCAAACGTACAAAATCAGCAGGGGATCAAATACATTTTTCCCTCACTGTACATACGCGTATAGATATGTGTATTGTGGACACTCCCTCATTCATACATACACGCACCACAAGGGAAGATGCATGCACTGGAAACTGAGGGGACAGGCACATGCATGGAAGAGCAACAAAACAGACTCTGCAGTGCTGTACTAACTCCTGCCACACTCACCCTGCAGACCCTGTTGGGTCTTTCTCTCCCCTTACGCTTTATTCTACAGTCCACTATTTTCCGGCTAGTTACTATTTTACATGGTGAAATTTTGACGTCTTAGTAAATACCAGCTGAAAACAGGACTGTCAAATAAAGCACCCTGGCGGTCTGAATTCACCCTGCCATTGTTTTTGTCCAATCTGAACTGTTGGACTTCCGTGTGGATAATCTGTCCTTTACGGAACCTAAGACGATGGCGGGTTGAATCCAGCTCTATACCCCTCTCCTGCTCTCTGGAGTGCTCGTGTCTTTTTGGAGGGTTTCTCATTCTTTGGTAGTTTTATCTCTCTCTCCCTCCTTCCTCTCTGTTCTTCTAGCTCTTCACTATGGAGGGACTCTCCACTGTCATTCAGAACGGCCTCCGTCAAACTTTCGGCAGCACAGGAGGGGACAAACAGGTGCCCCTCTCTCTAGCTACCCCTCTTTTTTTCAGTATTCCTTCTAAAAAATGTTGACAGTTCTTTTATCTACAGCTATTGCCGCTGCTGTGTTCTCCACCTGTCATCTTTATTTTCACGTCTTTCTTTTTCAGGTTTTCTATCCGTTTTATTTACTCATTCTTAAGCCCTCTGCTGTCTTATCCTCTGGCTCATTCTGTGTCCATCAAATACAAATGAAGCAGCTCTGCTTCTGCTTTCATATCCTTCTTTTTCTGTCTTGTTTTTTTGTTGTTCCCCTTTTAGATTTTTCCTGTAGTATATTCTAATATAATAATAAATCATATATAGTAATAATATCCCATTTAGTAGACGCTTTTATCCAAAGCGACTTAGTCATGCGTGCATAAATGTTTACGTATGGGTGGTCCTGTTTGTTGAACTGAGCATTGTGTCTTGAGATTGGCAGGAACTTGAAGCTGAATCATCCAATAGTGTGCTCTCCTTATTTCCTGCAAACAAGCGTCCTCCTGTTACTATGGGTGGCTTCATGTGCTCATGGGAAATTGTGAAGTTGTAAGTCCGACATTAATTCGTTCACGTGCCTTTTGAAGTCGAAACAATTCTTTAACCAATAAGATTGTACATTGCTAATAATAAAGTTAGTTAGCTTGCTTAACATTGACATATGGTCAAACTAGCTACATTCTCCATATTGATAAGGTTGTAATTGTCAACTGATTTGTTGACATCTTTTGGTTGAAACGGTCAGTGGTGAAACGTCGCTACTCGGGTAACAACACTTTCTCTGTTTCCCACTTGTAATTCCGACAGAGGGTCATTCAAGTGAAATTTCCCACTGGGAACTAGGAGCTTCTGATAGCACATGAACGCAGCATAATGCCCAACTGTCTCCCATTAAACTAAAATTAACCAATGGCCTTAACTCACTCATTCACCTATAACCACGCACCAACCAGTCACAACTTACTCTGTCATTATTGGCTCAGTTGACCAATGAGTGGTTTGTAGTATTGAAATATACACTCACGGCCAGTTTATTAGGTACCGGGTCGGACCCTCCTTTGCCTCCAAAACAGCCTGAATTCTACAAGGTGTGGCGTTCAAACGTTGCTCAATTGCGATCAAGGGACCTAACGTGTGCCAGGAAAACATTCCCCACACCATTACACCACTGCCACCAGCCTGTACCATTGACACCAAGCAGGATGCGTCCATTAACTCCTGCTGCTTACGTCAAATCCTGACTCTTCCATCAGCATGACACAACAAGAACTGGGATTTGTCGGACCGGGTGACGTGTTTCCACTCCTCAATTGTCCAATGTTTGTGATCGCATGCCCACTCGGGCCGCTTCTTCTTGTTTTTAGCTGATATGAGTGGAACCCGGTTTGGTCGTCTGCGACAATAAACCATCCAAGACAAGGACCGACTAGTTGTTTGTTCCGAGAATGCCGTTCTGCACAACACTGTTATACTGCGCCGTTATTTGCCGGTTTGTGGCCTGCCTGTTAGCTTGCACGATTCTTGCCATTCTCCTTCGACCTCTCATCAACGAGCTGTTTTCACCAACAGGACTGCCGCTGACTGGATGTTTTTTGTTTGTCGCACCATTCTCGGTAAACCTTAGACACTGTTGTGCGTGAAAAGCCCAGGAGGCCGGCCATTTCTGAAGTACTGGAACCGGCGCGCCTGGCACCAACGATCTTACCACGCTCAGTTGCTTAGGTCACTGGTTTTGCCCATTCTAACGTTAAATCGAACAGTAACTGGACGCCTGTCTGCCTGCTTTATATACAGTGGGGGAAAAAAGTATTTAGTCAGCCACCAATTGTGCAAGTTCTCCCACTTAAAAAGATGAGAGAGGCCTGTAATTTTCATCATAGGTACACGTCAACTATGACAGACAAATTGAGAATTTATTTTCCAGAATATCACATTGTAGGATTTTTTATGAATTTATTTGCAAATTATGGTGGAAACTAAGGATTTGGTCAATAACAAAAGTTTCTCAATACTTTGTTATATACCCTTTGTTGGCAATGACACAGGTCAAACGTTTTCTGTAAGTCTTCACAAGGTTTTCACACACTGTTGCTGGTATTTTGGCCCATTCCTCCATGCAGATCTCCTCTAGAGCAGTGATGTTTTGGGGCTGTCGCTGGGCAACACGGACTTTCAACTCCCTCCAAAGATTTTCTATGGGGTTGAGATCTGGAGACTGGCTAGGCCACTCCAGGACCTTGAAATGCTTCTTACGAAGCCACTCCTTCATTGCCCGGGCGGTGTGTTTGGGATCATTGTCATGCTGAAAGACCCAGCCACGTTTCATCTTCAATGCCCTTGCTGATGGAAGGAGGTTTTCACTCAAAATCTCACGATACATGGCCCCATTCATTCTTTCCTTTACACAGATCAGTCGTCCTGGTCCCTTTGCAGAAAAACAGCCCCAAAGCATGATGTTTCCACCCCCATGCTTCACAGTAGGTATGGTGTTCTTTGGATGCAACTCATCATTCTTTGTCCTCCAAACACGATGAGTTGAGTTTTTACCAAAAAGTTCTATTTTGGTTTCATCTGACCATATGACATTCTCCCAATCCTCTTCTGGATCATCCAAATGCACTCTAGCAAACTTCAGACGGGCCTGGACATGTACTGGCTTAAGCAGGGGGACACGTCTGGCACTGCAGGATTTGATTCCCTGGTGGCGTAGTGTGTTACTGATGGTAGGCTTTGTTACTTTGGTCCCAGCTCTCTGCAGGTCATTCACTAGGTCCCCCCGTGTGATTCTGGGATTTTTGCTCACCGTTCTTGTGATCATTTTGACCCCACGGGGTGAGATCTTGCATGGAGCCCCAGATCGAGGGAGATTATCAGTGGTCTTGTATGTCTTCCATTTCCTAATAATTGCTCCCACAGTTGATTTCTTCAAACCAAGCTGCTTACCTATTGCAGATTCAGTCTTCCCAGCCTGGTGCAGGTCTACAATTTTGTTTCTGGTGTCCTTTGACAGCTCTTTGGTCTTGGCCATAGTGGAGTTTATAGTGTGACTGTTTGAGGTTGTAGACAGGTGTCTTTTATACTGATAACAAGTTCAAACAGGTGCCATTAATACAGGTAACGAGTGGAGGACAGAGGAGCCTCTTAAAGAAGAAGTTACAGGTCTGTGAGAGCCAGAAATCTTGCTTGTTTGTAGGTGACCAAATACTTATTTTCCACCATAATTTGCAAATAAATTCATAAAAAATCCTACAATGTCATTTTCTGGATTTTTTTTCTCTCAATTTGTCTGTCATAGTTGACGTGTACCTATGATGAAAATTACAGGCCTCTCTCATCTTTTTAAGTGGGAGAACTTGCACAATAGGTGGCTGACTAAATACTTTTTTCCCCCACTGTAACAAGCCACGGCAACGTGACTCACTGTCTGTAGGAGTGAACCATTTTCGTGAACGAGTTGGTGTACCTAATAAACTGGCCACTGAGTGTACATACTACTTTTTCCCCCTGTTTTTTTATGAGTTATTATTCCCATAATTCTCAATGAGTTTATCTTGTATCATGGTGCAGTTTTTCCTTTTCTTTGTGTTACCTTTCTTTTTGTCTCCTTTTTCATCCCCCCCCCATCATCTGCCTTCTCTCTCCTGTGTCTTGTACTCCCCCCCCCCCCCCCCCCCCCCCCCCCCATCATCTGCCTTCTCTCTCCTGTGTCTTGTAACCCCCCCCCCCCCCCCCCCCCCCTCTATCATCTGCCTTCCCTCTCTCCTGTGTCTTGTACTCCCCCCCCATCATCTGCCTTCCCTCTCTCCTGTGTCTTGTACTCCCCCCCCTATCATCTGCCTTCCCTCTCTCCTGTGTCTTGTACTCCCCCCCCCCCTTCCCCCCCCCCCCCCCCCCCCATCATCTGCCTTCCCTCTCTCCTGTGTCTTGTACTCCCCCCTCTTTCCTCTCGTTCTGTGGTTGTGACGTGTTTCTCTCTCTCTCTCTCAGTATCTGACCACAGTTATCCCCTATGAGAAGAAGGCTGGCTCCCCCTCTGTGGATGACCTTCAGATCCTCACCAAGAGTGAGTACTGCTCGCAAACCACACTTGCCTGTCAACTAGCAATTCACCATGAAAGTTGAACTGTAATGCCAGAATAGTCGTGTTATAACAGTAATATTCACTCCCAAATCACTTTTACTCTCTTCCCTGCAGTTTTGCATGCCATGAGGGAGGACAGTGAGAAGGTGCCCAGCCTCCTAACAGACTACATCCTCAAAGGTACTCCTTCTCTACCAGTTACAATGCTCTTACTCCCATTCAAAAGACCAAATGTTACCACACATGGCGAAGTACATTCTCAAAGGTATTCAATTCCTTTGAGGAAATATTACTCCCATTCAAATGGAGCTTTTGTCCAGATTGACCGTCTCACTACCACCTAGTGCCCGAGAAAGATACTGCAGGACCCGAGGGTTAGGACAGGACACATATTGTAAGGAGGGTCTACTTCCAATGTGTTCTTTGTTCCCTGAAGTGTGTCATACTAGGCTTGCAGGGTTGTTCTGAGCCTTCCATCTTGACCTTTACCCTCCTTGTCTCTCGTCTCTGCTGCGCTGCTCTCTCGCTAGCTCTGGTATGAGAGAGGTGGACGTGGAGGTTTGTGAGGCACACAATCACAGACTCACACAATCACTGACTCACACAATCACACACACACAGACTCGCACAATCACACACACAATCAGACTCATACAATCACACACAATCGCACACACAAAATCACATACACACAAGAATCACACACACACACACACACACACACGAACACTCATACACAAGACACGCAATGTGTCAAGAGCCCTCTCACACACACCTCCTTCCAGACATCACCCTTCACTGGGTTTGTGCTATAGTGCACCCATACTGTGCCGTGCTTCCTCCTAGACTCGCACACACTCTTGCTCACTCCCACTCCCACTTCCCGCCAAGCTTCTAGCACTATAGAGCTGTTCACTGAGTGCTGTCCTGTCCACCTAAGCGAATCACCCTCTTCTTTCTCTTTCGCACACCTCTCCTCTCTACCCTTCTTAGTTGCTCTCCTCCCTGTGCGATGAATCCTCTTTTACGCACATATTTTCATTTGGTGGATCATTATTAGTTGACAGCTGTTTTCTGTGTTCTTGTCCCTGCAGTGCTGTGTCCCACATAGACCTAGTGGAGGAGCCCCCTGTTCTAGAATGTTCTGACAGAACACTCAGGAGCTGCAGAGTTCTGGAACATACCAATGGAAGGAGAGCCCCCCCACCCCTACAATAAGGTGGACTCTTCCTGTTGGAGTGTTTTTTTCCCCCCCACAACATATTTTCCCTCGACTTATGAGATTCACATTTTAATGCCTGATGTTTTACCTTACCTTTTACGTGTAATTTTAAGTGTGTTTTAATGTTCTAATGCTATAATCTCACCTTCTCTGCATGTTAGTGACTCTGTTAGCCTGTTGCCAGTATTACTCTCAATTGTCTAAAGTGGCTTTCTGTACTTATCTCCATCTTCCGTTTGCACTAATGTAAAATAACTTGAGAGGGAAAACAAATTCCTGTCTCTAAATTCACCGGCCTGTCTTTTCACATCAGTTAAGAATAGGGTGAGGAGAAGTCACTTGACAATTGGAATGCAGCTTTCCTCTCAGTTAGACTGGCCAATGCCCTCTTACTGGGGTATATAGGAGGGATGGGGAAATAAGGCTTCTTGAACCTCTATGGGCGGGATCAGTCATGGAGTCCAATGGGAGCTCTCCACTTTATCAGAGCGCTCATATGGGTCAGAGTAATTCATAATTGACAGACCATGGTATTGGTAGGGTTCAGAAGCCTTGTTTTATTTCCATCTCTTGGATTTTACATTTCACAAACCCTGTCAGTTTGTCTTTGCATGCTGCTACATAGGATTAGGGAGCTGCACCAGTGAAATGTTATAAAGCATTATTTTGTATATTACAATATGAAATTGCACAAATAGAAAATGTTTTTTTAAGTGATAACTTCTCGAAAAAGGGAAAAAATTATGACAGAAGTTAGTAAGAAGGTAACCGAAAGAACAAACTTGTACAGCTTTTTATTTTTCTGTAGTTTAAGAGAAATTAGGGACTTTTTGCTGCCAGTAGAGTGTGGCCACTTATTATGACATCACCATTGTTATGTAAACACTAGCTGTCAACCTCTGACCCCTCCTAGTGACATGTTACATTATGACATCACCCTGTATACTTGCCTGCCTCATTCCTCACCTCTTAGTATGTACAGTAAGTTCAGGGTTATTTGAGTATTTTAATGGATACAGCATCAATATTAGGATGTCAAATAATGGTTAAATTGCTGTGAGTTGATCCTACCATGTTGTTTTTAGAACCAATAACTCTTTGATGTTGTGTTAAGGTTGGCGATCAAGTGATGACATAATCAGTTGGTGATCTGTTCTTGTCCAGTAGATGTAGCAACAGTAGTAGTTCACAATAGTTTTATGTACTTATGGAGACAATGTAACGGATGAAGGGAGGTTTCTGTACAAAGGCAGGAGAGATCCTTCAAAAGCAAACATTTCTAAAACCTCTTGTCTTCATCCACAACCACTAACCTTCAGCACTATCTATCATATCAACGCTATACTTGGTACGCCACAATCCTGTCAAATCGTCAGCAGTAACTAAGCTCCGTGCACAATAATTGCAATCGCACACAAACCGATCAGGTCCAGTCTATCACTACTCTATACCCGGCGCAGTGGTTCCACAACCGCCTCCACAGTAGTAGAGCATTATGGATCGTGTTAGGATGAAGAGCGCCGATGTTGTTACTCCATGCTTGGGGATAATGTTGTAACATTAGCAAGCCCCGCATCCTACAGCTTGAGTAGCCATGTAGTAGGGTTCGTCAGTCCTAGGCCTGAGTAGTAGTATAGTAACATAAGTCATAAGGCTACAGACAAGTATAGGCTAGAACCTGAAGACCTAGCTAAGTGGTTGTTGTTGCATCAGCTTGTAGTAGCTCAATAGTAAAACTACTGTTGCTTAACTGTTGGAGTAACTGCTGGACAAAGTATTTAGTAGCAGCCAGACACCTATAGACAGCAACTAGACATCCCAGGTACCCGGCCGGCCGCTGGAAGTCGATGGTAGTGCCAGTTCTGTCCTCACTATTAGAGGTCAGGGGTAGTGAGTCGGAATCATGGCGTCTAATGGAAGCTCTCTTTTCCCTGGATCAAAGTGTTGTGAAGAGGTAATGGGTTTTAGTTGAGGGTCTCAGAAGGTAGATTTATTTAGTAAGGGAAGCCAGCAAAGCCACTAGACCTCTACTGTACAGAATCACTTGTAACTATCTTTCAATTGTAGCAAGCTTCAAAAGCATTCATAACCCCTAGCATGTTCTGCATGCACTTTATCGACTTTTACTTCAAGTAAATCAAATGAATGGTGAGCAATAATGTCACACTGAAGGAATCCTTAGCATTGAACCACATTGCAATAAGAAAGTTAAGCCGAACTGAAATGTAAACTAGCTTGGGTGGGGTTTGGACTCCATGAAACTGGAGTTGAATTGATAAGTATAATTTGGGTTGTCTTGGAGCCTCGTCCCTCTCTTGTCGCCTGGTCCCTCTATTTTAGCAAACATATCAGCATATATCCACACTTTATTGAGAGAATTATATTTATATAAACATAAGCAACAACAAAGGCTGCCTTTGTAAATGCCTGAAATTTTGTATATAGAATCTACTCATTTATTTTTAATGCAATATACTTCTTCCCCCATTTGGGGTCTTTATGTTTACTTGTCTTGTTGTCATGTGGTACTACAGTACATTAATTTATTCAGTAAATGTTTGTTTTGTAACCATATTATTGACAAGTGGTTAAAACTTTTTGTGCCAGAATTGCATTTGGTGCTCATTTTAAAATAAAATAATGATATGTTGACTACTTTGGTGTCATGCTATTGGTTTGTAGGGTGTATCCATGATGATCAATAATTGTTATTAAATCACCCTTTTACACTCATTTAAGTTACTATCAAAATAAATTGGTCCACACTTTTATTAGATACAATCTGTACACAGAAATTGTGCAGCGACTTATCAAAAGGCATTCTTACATTCAGAGCAACAGCAAGTCAATATACAAATATGTTTATATAAAATGAAAAACACTTCTCTTCTCTTTGTATGTTAGGTCAGTGTAGCTATAAGAAAACCAAAAACGAATTTGAATTAAAATGGATGCCTTGATACTGCTCATTGAAACAGGGAAATGTTATTCTCAGTGAAACTGAAAAATCAGTGAAATCTCTCTGTTCCTCTACCTCCTCGGGAGTCTTCTCTTTCATGGAAGCAAGTCCTTTTCTCAGATATTGTTCAGTTAGTCATATTTGCACATATTATTATTCGTTTTTATTTAACCCGTGCGTGTTGTTTGGTAGGTCGGTTGCCGTCATAGTCAAATAGGATAAGTTATTAGGTAATGTTATTAGTGAATGTCTATGGCTTGATTTGTGTACCCCTCCGACCTCCCTTCGTGAGGGCCTGCCCCTCCAGTCGACCTGTCTGACCTGACAAGGTGAGGGGTGGAGTTCAAAGGTCACAGCAGGTCACAGGTTAGTGTCAGTAAACATGGTGTGTTCCTTCCGCACCGTGCTGAAGCCTTTAATAGTGTCGACAAACTCCTCGTCCTCCATAAACTGGTGGATGATGAAGGGAGGGAGAGAAAGGAGGAGTTAATAATAAATAAACATGGAAGAAAAACATCCTCTAAGCAGGCCCTAGATTTCAGTGTGTCTCACCATCCCGCTGTCGTGGCCTTGAATGTGAGAGTCCCACACTTCCTCCTCCCCCGTCAGCGACTTCCTGTCCATCATCTGGCTCACGCTGCGCCGCAGGGAATTCTGGGAGTGAGCAGAGCCATGAATAGCGGAGACGTGGAGGCTGGACACATTAAGGATTCCCAGCTCGCCCTCCGGAGGAGCGTCGCCACCTGCCCAAAACTTACTGTCCTCCACACCCTTGGGGCACAGATAGGAGACAAGGGGGCAAGTTACCGTTGTCCAAAATGTATGTGTATGTGTCAGTGGGAGAATTTCAATTGCACACTCCTCGTGTCCTCTCCTCAAAACCCATTGGAGGAGAAGATCAGAGGAGAGGAACCTCTGGCTTTCTCATCCAATGGGTTTTGAGAGGAGCGAGGACGCGGGGAGTGTCTGCCCAGTCTCTAACCTCCAGGTGCATGGTGAACCCTTTGAGTGTGACACTGTTGGAGGAGCTTGTTGTGTTGGGCACCGTGTCAAACTGAGAGAGCAGAGAGAATGTGTTACAGAGGGAGACATTTGACATATATCTCATGTTTTCCACTGTGAGTCAGAATAAACCCATCTGAGATGAAATATTCCACCATGTTGTATGAAAACTCGTCTGAATAAAGTGCATTTCTACATGCTATGAAAGTGAATGCATAATTTAAGTTGAATGACCATCCCTTTCATAGAATGTTCCCACATACCCAGTTGGGCCGTCTCACCAGGTAGGAGTCACTGGGGGGATACACGGCCATGGGGCTCCTCTTCTGCATGGGCAAGGCCACCAGAGGGGGGCGCTCTCGAGTAAAGGGGGGTCTTTTCAGGGCCTTGTGCAGGATGATCCCCAGAACGATAGCTAGAAGCACCAGGGCTACCCCTGTCATCAGCACGATGAACCACAGCTCGCTGTAGAAAAGAGACCCGTTCCCCTTACCCCCCTCCGCCCGCTCCCCACCGGGAGGAGTGGGCTCCACCTGATCTAGAGGGGGAGAGGGGCAGGTAAGAGGAAGGGAGGTAACACAAGTGTACAACAGTTGGCCTGTTTAATTGGGAATAATATCCAACTTGCTGTCTGATTCTTCAATCCTAAAGACGTCATGCACCCGCCACTATCACGTCTGGGACAAACCTTACTTATCGTTCCTATGTAGCTGATTCTGTCTGTGTACTAATGGTCTCTCTATCAGTAAATGCCTTACTCTGAGTTCTAGGGCCTACAGCTCAAGGTAATGGGCCCAAGTCAACACTCTCTTTCTTAGAAAGGTGATCACACAGTGAGAGAGAGGAGATAACCAGGTAACTGGAGAAGCACTTGTTGGCGTGGCCTACTTTCTATCCCTCTCTGATCGCACTCCTTAAGCAGCTTCTGTCATCCAACCATCTCTTACTGACCCACTGCTGTGACATTTCTGTTCTTTGTTTGTTAATTCCCTGAACCAGAGCATTTGTGGTGTATACACAGTGCAACATGTTTGTTTGACACATACACCACACTTTCTATGCACAATGACTAGAGCTTTCTTAACTCTTGGTAGCATCAAACCCACATATTTGTACAACTCCATTTCATCTGATATATGTTAGTTTAGAAAATCACATCTACTGTAGACATAGAGAAGGCACCAGATGAAGACAATGACAGTTGACAGCAAAACAGGAAAAGAGAGACTAGGGGTATGACAGGGAAAGAGAATGAGAGCAGGTTGACTGGCCAGTCCAGAGCCTCACCAGTGCTGGTGTCCGTGGTGTAGTGTGTGGCGGGGGCGTAGACACCCCCTCTCTGTGAGGTGCATGTGATCAGGGGGGCAAGGACTGACCGGCAGTAAGGGATCACACCTGTTGCCCCATCAATATTTCACACCGCCGTTTACCTTGGCTGATACACACTCTGCAACACCCCACAAATGAGAGCGAACGTCTTCGGAAGGTTCGAAAAATCTAAGTACTCTGATGTCTTGTCCACCCTGCTTCCCTGCAGTGTGGTCTAGTGGTGTGGTCAGGATGCCGTCAGTGAGAAAGAGAGGCAAAACGAAAGCAATAGAGAGATGGAACTTCTAAGTGCTGTTAAGGTGTCCTCCTCACCCCAGAGATCTCCCATCAACCCCTGCTTCCCCCCAGCAGCGTCATGGCAACAGCCAGGTGTCAGGTATCAGCTTACCTTGGGAGGCAAGGTGAAGGCCAGTCAGAGTACCATGCCTCTCTAATACACACATTTAACAGTAACTGCCTAGTTCCACCTCACTGGAAAAACAGCAGTAGTAGTAGTAGTAAGTGTCTTTATGATTTGTAGGAGTTGGCATGTTCTGGTGAAGGTCACTTTCACTTTGAAAGTCACTCTCAAAATGTCAACCCTGATGTGTATGGATTTCGAGCTGTGTTCCAAAATGAGAACTAGAGGAGTGGTAGTATTACATGCATTACACAACAGATCCAAGTCAAAGGGACATGAATGCAGTGTCGTCTGTACAGAATTACTTTGCCACATGGTGGCGCTAAGTAACAACTCAATATTACTTAATGGCCTGCTACTGTGCAATACCTGCTCTGAGTCCTCTAGTATTGTATGTTCCATCATGTCATGTGGAAGATTGTGGAACACATTGCCTTATAAGCTAAATGAAAAGAAGCCTACTAAAACTAGTGCACTATACTATACATGAGTGTGTAAGAGATAAAGCTACCCTATGAATGTATTTTGAGAAAACAAAACACTTATGTAGATGCATATGAAAGCCTAAAAAGCATTGTGTGCTGTTTGAAAAGACTGAGACATCACTGTACAGGTGTTATGTTCTACTGACTTCCTTCTGGTGGTTTGGTTATTGCTGGATCGTGGTCTGACTATAGCGGGAAAAGGCCCTTATATTACACCACAGCTCGTCTGATGTATTTAGATGGGAGGGAACGCCGCTCATCCTTATAATACTCTAATCAGCATTCATACCTCGCCGGGATGATTAGGGACAATGGCTTTTTATTGTGGAAGTGATCTCATTGCAGAGTGGCAGAATCAGCCTTTTACAACCCATCTCCTCCAGACCCCATCCATCACTGGGTGTCTGGGAGACCGAGTCGGCGGACACACACTAACTCACTTAGAGAGAGTGACACATAGGGATGTCAATCACAAGGTAACTCACTTAGGGTAGGTGATATATTGGGACCTCACTCGCCATCACTAACTCACTTAGAGGCAGCCGATGTGGCGCAAAATGCGTTGTCTGCCCAACTTCCATCATGCCCCATTTCATCTTGAATGACTGGTAAATAAACTGATGGATGATTTTTGGGGAGATGTCGGCTACACTCGTTCATTCATCCATCCATCTTGAGTATGCTCTGTGCAATTAGTCTCAAGACTGACACTATGACCCAGCGCCGCCCTCTCCTCTCCTGGGGCCTCATTTATCAACCGCGCGTACATTTCTTACAAAATTCTGGCGTACATGGAGATTCTATGATTTGCGTGCTGAAAAAAATATTGGGATTTATCAAACTGTCGCACTCAACATATAGGGGAGAGTGGTGTAAGTTGAGCCATTTTTTACATTTAGCATCACTCGTCAATATAGTATTATTTCTAACAAAGATATCTACATATACAGTATTTCAGGATGCTGTGTATCCCTGGAAATAATCAGATTTCATGTAAACATTACAGTTTTGAAAACATAGCTTTGTCCCAAAAAAGTGGTCTCTTGATACAACTTACCCCGGGACGCCGACACATTTCTGTACTGAATGAAATATGACCACTACCTTTTTAAAACCATGTATATATTTATTTACCAAACACAATCGCTTTTTGTATTTTAATCATTTGAAGCATCTTTAAGCACAGGCTTAACACCTAACAAACACTGCACTGCACAGGCCCTGTTGTTACCTCATATCCCCGCGATAATGCCTTGCATTATGCCTGGGAAGAAAACACTTCAATTTGCTCAACTTGCCATTGAATCAACCATTGGCCCAACTTACCCCATGGCAAACATTTAGACTATATTAGCCCACACAGCTACAAGGATGTAGCCTGACGGCTCAAACTAAATTATTCCGCTGCTCTGTCGTTCGCTACATACTTAAAGAAACTAACGTCAAAGGGCGGGGCGCAGCGTTTGACATGAGCAAGGAGTAGCCAGGATGCACTTCATGCTAGGTTTAGGACCTCATATTGAAGCTGATAGAGACCCAACTGATCTTACAATGATCTACATTGGTTTAGATACAAGCATCATGAAACCTCTATCACTTGGATGGGCAATTGGCAGCCCGCAGGCCGCATGACCCCCTTTTGTAGGCCCGCCGATCAATTTCCCACCAAAAAAACAGTCGTGTCTCAACTTGCTGTTCAGAGTTAGAATAGTAGAATACAATTTCGAAATTTGATTGCGCATCAGCAGTTTTTATCTTGTTATGTCAGTCACTAACCAGGTTTCCATCCAACCTTTTTATGCGAGTAAAGTACGTCGGATAAAAAATGTAATGACAGGCCTAATGGATGCAGAAAAATGTTCTGTAAACTTTCCAAATGTCGACAAAACAAAATACGCTAGACAAGGTGGGATTTTATTGTGTCGGTAAAATTAATTATGCGAGAAATGTCGGTGGAAACATTTTTATGCTGCAAATATTGATATAATAACCATCATTATCAAAGTAAACGGAGTCACGCGATGACATGTTGTGTGATCCTCCCACTAGGACTCGTCAGGAAAGCATGCAGTTTATTAGGCTACAAATTAGAATTGCAGCAAACTTGCTTTAAAACTGCAACATTTTCTCTACGACCCATGGCAAAATGTGTAGAATTGCAGGACATTTACTCTAAAACGTACATTTTTTCCCTCTCCATTGTCAAGAGGGGGTCCACTAAAATGTTTTGCTCTTAGGGCCCACAAAACATGTGACTGCATAGATGGGTATGGATGTGGGTAGAAGACCCACGAGCCACTGGGGGCCCCTCGTGATGATTTCAGATTTTTAGTGGCCCCCACCCCCATCAAAGTTGCCCATCCCTGCTCTAACACAATAAATTAATTTGACTTGGTGAAATTCGTTTTTTGGACCTAACTTCCTTACCACTTTGTTTCTATCTCCTGCCTTGGTATAGAGCCCCACAGTGGAGGTGTCATAATACCCATAAAACAAAGCGGTCAAACAGGGAAATGCTTCCAATCGTTTTTCCACCATTCATTTTTCCCATAGGGGATTTTAGAAACACATAAAATAAGGGCTGTGTTTCGTGTAGGCTTACCCTGGCGTGACGTTTTGATAACCATGTAAATCTCTCTCGGACAAGGTGACTTTTATTATACTGTGGTACTCTATAGGCTCTGATATTAAACAGGCTATGATGTCCCGCTCCTATCGCACAGCAATACTGTAGCCTACCCATATGTTCGCAAAACAGTTGATCAACCACTAGAAGTTGTGCGTAGGCCTATGCATGATCTGAGATTTGGGTGGAGATACGCACACTTTCCCGTCAAATTCAACATTTATAAATACCAACTTTGCTGGAAAACTGGCGCATTCAAGGTTTAGTCTTTTTTGTGCCCACACACCTTTGATAAATGAGGCCCCTGTCCTCTTCTCTCCTGTCCTCTCCTGTCATCCCCTCTTGTCCCCTCTCCTCTTGTCACCTCTCCTCTCCTGTCCTCTCCTCTTGTCCCCTCTCCTCTCGAAAATGGTTTTTCTTAAGTTTTGTTATAATTAAGAGAGTAGCCTACTTGACAGATACAATGCACAATTCTGTCATCACAGTGTCTGAATCCTATTTGTACATTGAAAAAATATTTAAAAGCAACATGTAAAGTGTTGGTTCCATGTTTCATGAGCTGAAATAAAAGATCCCAGAATCTTTCCATATGCACAAAAAGCTTATTTCTCAAAAATGTTGTGCACAAATTTGTTAGATCCCTGTTAGTGAGCATTTCTCCTTTGCCAAGAGAATCCATCCACCCGACAGGTGTGGCATATCAAGAAGCTGGGGGCAATAAAAGGCCACTCTAAAATGTGCAGTTTTGTCACACAACACAATGCCACAAATATCTCAAGTTTTGAGGGCACGTGCAATTTGCATGCTGACTGCAGGAATGTCCATCAGAGCTGTTGCCAGAGAATTGAATGTTAATTTCTCTACCATAAGCCTCCTCCATCGTCGTTTTAGAGAATTTGGCAGTACGTCCAACCGGCCTCACGACTGCAGACCATGCGAGCGGTTTGCTGATGTCAACGTTGTGAACAGACTGCCCCATGGTGGCGGTAGGCTTATGGTATGGGCAGGCATAAGCTACGGACAATGAACACAATTGCATTTTATCGATGGCAATGCACAGAGCTACCGTGATGAGATCCTGAGGCCCATTGTCGTGCCATTCATCCGCCGCCATCACCACGTTTCAGCATGAGGATCTGTAGCATATTCCTGGAATCTGAAAATGTCCCAGTTCTTCCATGGCCTGCATACTCACCAGACATGTCACCCATTGAGCATGTTTGGGATGCTCTGGATCGACGTGTATGACAGCGTGTTCCAGTTTCCGCCAATATCCAGCAACTTCGCACAGCCATTGAAGATGAGCGGGACAACATTCCACAGGCCACAATCAACAGCCTGATCAACTCTATGTGAAGGAGATGTGTCACGCTGCATGAGGCAAATGGTGGTCACACCAGATACTGACTGGTTTTCTGATCCACGCCACTACCTTTTTTTAAGGTATCTGTGACCAACAGATGCATATCTGTATTCCCAGTCATGTGAAATCCATAGATTAGGGCCTAATGAATGTATTTCAATTGACTGATTTCCTTTTAAGAATTTTAACTTTGAAATTAATAATGAGCGCCAACTGCATTTGTGTAATAACCAGTAATGATATATTGATATTGAAAGTCATGCAGCTGTAGCAAATGCTTCCCATATTGACTCTGAACACAATCATTGAGCATGTAATGCAATAGAAAGGTTTGCTCCAGTCATCTCTACTCTGAAAAACATACAACATTTATGATTGTAATTCTCCAATTACTTTTTTTCTGTAATGAACGTCTACACTCATCCTTTTGAGTGTTGATTTGTAATTAATTTAGTTACATTGTGCTTATCAAAAGCATTAAAGCGTTAAAGCATACTGAGAACGATTTTACTAGGAATTCAATTAGTTTTCCTTTGATGGAACTATGGTGTCATAGAGTTACTTACAACTCAGTCCTAGCATTACAGATAGGTTTCTATCAACAGAGCCACATTTCCATTATTATTAAAATCAAATAAATCTCCATCATGTAGCAGCTATACCCCTCTAACCCATCTTCTAAATAAGGTTGATATTTCAAGGATTATTTTCTTATTTGTGTGTAGTTTCCCTGTTAGGTTTGTGCTGGAAGACACAGTCTGTGATTGTCTCTGCCTCATAAAGGCAGTAATCCTGTCAGGCTATCTCAACCTTTGACTGAGAGGAAGTCAGGTGCTTGCGTTCATTAGCTTCCTCAATAACCTTGACAATCTGTTCCCAGCGGCGCTTTTAGACTTCATTAAAACAATGTTGTTAATTATGGATCCACTCTTATGAGACCGTCCCCCTTTCAGCCCCTACACTTCCTTCTCATCTGTCCAATAGACACACTTCAAGCCAACATTTATGGCCACCTTGGGAAACGAGGCGCCTGTCATAGACAATGGTTCAAAGTGACAGCGGTCTGTTATCTGACACAAGTTACTGCGGCAGCATGTGGGTGTCCATAATTTATTCTAACGTCCGACAGAGTGCCTCCATCCTTCACTACTCCACCTCTCTTCCTCACTGATCTTCTCTTGATTCATGTCTACCCCTCTCCATTGCTTCACTATATCCCTCTTCTCTCTCTCCTTTCATTCCCCCTCTCTTTATCAATGAGGATGTCTCCCTTTCTGCCTTCCCTTTTCCCAAAAGTCTGACTGGGACATATGGTTGTGTCATAAACCTATAACAGTTAGAGAGATGAAGACGCTTTCTGGAACTGGAAGCATCTTTATTGCCCTAGAATCCTCCTGAGAATGGTAGTAGTAGTGTACATCTCATCTGAACATGGGTTACAACTCAGTTGGCGCTAGACTTTATATACAGAATACATACATTTACATCCCCTCCACACAGTATTGCTGGATCACACTTTATGATATACTTTGTCACAAAAATATACAGATTATTCCGCACAGATAGAGCAAATAAAGTACTTCTGAGATAATTACATGACAGTTGTCAGTAATGTACAGTGAGTTAAAAGCTGTTTTCACATTCCTACCGATTTGGTTTCCATTCATTTGAACATTTCTGATTTTCCAAGATTTCTACTTTCTGAAACAGAAACACACAGAGACACGTTTGAAATACCACCACCAGATCTTCCTCATAAGAAAGAGAAGAGGTGATTTGCACAATTTATAATCAAAAAATACATTGTGTTCAATGTCATCAAGTACTGTACATCACGTTATTATATTGCCGTAGATGCTATGGTATAGTACAGGTATCAGTGCCAGGTATGAGTGAAGTAGTGAAGCTAGTACAAAATGTTTAATTTACTTATTAAAACAAAATTACTTCATCTTTAGAAAATGATCTGTATTTATTCCTTTATTATTCTTCGTTAATGCCACACTGGTAAATAAAAAACAAAAATAATCAAGCCAACAATAAATACATTTTAGGGCTCTATTCAATCAGATCTGCTTTAGCTGACATCTGCATAGCGGCTGTTTTGATGGTGTTGGAGGTGGAAATCCACAAGTGGCACCCGGCATTATACCTAAATCCGACATTGCCATTGGCTGCACAGAGTCACATTATCAGAAAACCCATGCAGCCTTGTTTACAAGTTCAACACCTCGATTAGGATGATATAAATCCTCATTATTTAGTTGAATGATTTTTCAATTTGATCTTATTTATTTCTATATAGCTTACTACACGTTTTCGTTCTGAACTTCTAACGCTAGTGGGTTTGACTTCGTGACAATGATCGGAAGAGCAGCTGCTCACCGATTTGACGGCTCCAATGCAGTTCCACCTCTGACACCGCCAAAACCTCCGCTATGCGGGTGTCTGCTATCACGGTTAATACTTGATCTGATTGAATCTAGGCCTTTTTTCAATTTCTCCCCTCACCTTCATAATCATTGAGTTAAATGTACTTAATGTATTTAAATGAAATCAAGTTCCTTAACTTATGCTAGGTGAGTGCCTTACAGGACACCATACATTATTGTGACCGCTTGCTGCATCCTTTGACTGTGTGTCACACCGTTCTTTGGCAAGCCTGTCCACAATTAGTTTTATATAAAAAAGAAAAGTTATTAAAGCACTACAATGCAAGATGAACCGGCTTAGAGCTGGTTTCACACAAATAATAATCCTAGAGGATCTTCAAGTTTTGGGTGTCTTTCTTCATTTCACTAGAACTGTTTAGGTTTATATCAATAACTGCCATCAAAATCCCTCATAAGGCAGCTATCCCTGTCACTAAGGTGATGTCAGTCCTTCCTCCTCTCCTCTCCTCCTGAGTTTGTAATGGCGAGCAGGGTTTATTAGCCTTGTCAAACTCACAACAGTCCCAGAATGACATAAAGAAGGATCGGACAACAATGACTTAATAGAAGAGCAACTGGAACTTCACAGAGGAGCCATTTTGGCTCCGTTCAGGTCCACTCATTGCTGTTCACTCTGTTCTTCCAGCACAGTACCACTTCCTGCATTAATCTTGACCTATCACTACCCTATCCTTCCTCTATGTGATCCTAGTCCCACGTGGCTGGTCAGGCCCTGGCCTCCAGCAGTTCCAGGAACAGTTTGTGCATGGGCACACGGCCGTCCTGCTTGATGCTGCAGAAGTGCTGCACAGCCCTGGCGGCCGTCTGCCGGAGCAGGGGCAGGGTCATAATGAGCTTGCCTGCCCGCCGAGGGTCCTCCGTGTGCTGAGCACTCTCGTAATCCTGCAGGGCCCCATGGAGCACATCCTGGAGCCTCTGGACTGCATCTACGTCCTCTATCTGCATGGAGTCTGTGGAGAAGGGGAGAGACAGATGGAAAGGAAGGAACATGGATAGGGCAGAGGAAGGAAGATATTGAGAGATGATGTTGGCATATATGCAGAGATTGAACGCTAGCAAAGCCAAATAGTCATTGGAAAATGCATGCCTAACTCAACCTCAATTACACCAACACAGTGAAGTTTCATACCTGAGTTAGCCAGTGAGATGGCCTTGAGGACAACAAACTCCTCCTTTTCAATCCTCATGGCTTTGTATTTCTTCACCAGCTGCAGTATGGTGTTGTTTAGGTCCAGTACACCTGCCAGTTTGGACTGCTCCTCATCCATGATGTAGTCCTTAGCATACACCAGTTTATCCTCCAAGGCCAGCGAGCGAAACACCACACGCAGGATCAGAATCTCCATCCATCCGCTCTGCAGTAGACTCATCTGGTCTGCCAGCGAGAGCGAGGGGAAACCTGGAGAAAGAGGGATGGAGGAGAAAAGGGAGAGATGGAGAGTTTATAGCAAGGTCTAATTAGGGAGGGGAAGGACCATTTTAAAGACATATCTTCATCGAAAAGATACAAACGAAAAGTACACCAAGGTTTCAAAAACATTGGCATTCGAAAATATAATTGTGATGGTTTTAGTCAGAATGGCTGGACCCGTTGGAATTATTAGACCAATGTCAACTGAAGGGTCATTGGATGAGGGGTCAGTTGAGGTAGAGGGGCAGAGGCAGGGGTGTGAAGTAGTTTAATAGTGAAAGCCCATAAGTTGTCAATCCAATAAAGACACCCCCTTTGACAAACAGATACACACCCATGTGAGCATGATTAAATCCACACAATCTGTAGTCTCCTCGCACACACACACACAGCATAATTAAAAACCAGAGGATTCGTTTTACAGAAGGAAAGGAGAAGGGCTTTTTTTTTTTTTACACCATCAGTGATTCTTATCAGGGTCCGGGTGCTTTTATAATCGCCATGTGGATGCCTGTGGCTCCCGCTCCTCTCTTTTCTCTCCCAGATTGATTGGAATGAGAGGGAGTAGCATTGTGTGAGTCTGTGTGTATGTCGTTGTCTTTGAGGACACCTCTATATGGACACACACAAGGGGACACATAAAGGAGCATCAGAGACATCCTCTGTCCCGCAGAGACAAGACAAAGTCGGCAGAGACAAAGAGGTCCTCTTACTTAACCCAGAGTAGTTAGTCCATGAGATGTCATTCTCAACGCTGTAGTAAGGGTTAGGGTATGAGAAGAGCTTGGGACAATGATATGCGTACAGGCTTCAATTTGAGGTTATCTGGGCATGAAGGGTTCAGCTGAGCCCCTACAGACACACACACTAACTTCACAGACAATTTACGGCAGCCTAAAAAAGGCCAAAGTGTGGTGTGAGAGAGGGTCTTAAGCTCATCTTCTCCCAGCCTAGCCCTCAGACAGAATCAACGTCAGTCTCCATGACAGGACCAGGCAGAGGAGGGGACGGGGGACAGGCTGCTGAGTGGCCAAGCTGGACTCACCTCCCCCTGGGCAGTAGCAGATAGCCTGGGCCCCTCTGCCAGGACATTGGTTCCCAGCCATGTGCCGTAGCCTGCCACTCAAACAGAGTTGATGTGACACCACCATTACGGTGCTACCAGGGGTCTAGAGCTGACACTACTTTCTCTCTGTCCTTCCTCACTCTGTCCTTATCTACTGTATCTTCCCCTCTCACAACATCTCGCTGACTCTCGATCTCTCTCTCTTGCCCTCTCGCTCATTCCCTACCGCCCTCCCACTCTCTCTCTCAGTTTCTCTCTCTCTCCATCATGCCCTCAAGTGGGTCCCTGGTGTGTCTGTGTCGGTGGTTGTTTCTCATGGCTGCGCCACTCCTCCAGAGAGACAAATGCTCCACTGGCAAAGGGCTACAAATACACACATCCATGTGACTGATTATGTTAGACTCCCACTCTGACAGTAAACACTGGTGACAAGCAGAGAAGAAGAGTTCCAAGGCAGCCAGGAGGGGAACGCTTTGTTGCTCTTCATCCTTTCTTTGAGAACGAAGAAAGTGCTGAACAGGAAAGTCTCAGACACGCACGCACGCGAACGCACACACACACACACACACCTGCTTAGGCAGCTTGTTGGGTAAGCATTACTGGACAAGCATCAACAAAAACACAGGTGTTTCCCTGGTGATGTTTTGGGTGTGAACAGGACATTAACTGCTGATAGAGCCAAAATACTTTCATCTGAGTGAGAGAGAGAAAAAGCTTGGGGAAAGAGAAAGAGAGTGAAGGAAGAGATACTGGATATATGTGATTGAATTCAGGATCGGGGGCGTTTGACGCCATTTCCTACTTCACAGTAGGGATGTTAATTATATGCATATACATACACACACTACCAGTCAAAAGTTTGGACACACCTACTCATTCAAGGGTTTTTCTTTATTTTCACTATTTTTTACATTGTATAATAATAGTGAAGACATCAAAACTATAAAATAACACATATGGAATCATGTAGTAAACAAAAAAGTGTTAAGCAAATCAAAATATATTTGAGATTTGAGATTCTTCAAAATAGCCACCATTTGCCTTGATGACAGCTTTGCACACTCTTGGCATTCTCTCAACCAGCTTCACCTGGAATGCTTTTCCAACAGTCTTGAAGGAGTTCCTACATATGCTGAGCACTTGTTGGCTGCTATTCCTTCATTCTGCGGTCCAACTCATCCCAAACCATCTCAATTGGGTTGAGGTCAGGGGATTGTGGAGGCCAAGTCATCTGATGCAGCACTCCACCACTCTCCTTCTTGGTAAAATAGCCCCTACACAGCCTGGAGGTGTGTTGGGTCATTGTCCTGTTGAAAAACAAATGATAGTCCCACTAAGCCCAAACAAGATGGGATGGCGTATCGCTGTAGAATGCTGTGGTAGCCATGCTGGTTAAGTGTGCCTTGAATTCTAAATAAATCACAGACAGTGTCACCAGCAAAGCACCCCCACACCATAACACCTCCTCCTCCATGCTTTACGGTGGGAAATACACATGCAGAGATCATCCGTTCACCCACACCGCGTCTCACAAAGACACAGCGGTTGGAACCAAAAATCTCAAATTTGGACTCCAGGCCAAAGGACACATTTCCACCGGTCTAATGTTCATTGCTCATGTTTCTTGGCCCAAGCAGGTCTCTTATTCTTATTGGTGTCCTTTAGTAGTGGTTTCTTTGCAGCAATTCGACCATGAAGGCCTGAATCACACAGTCCCCTCTGAACTGTTGAGATGTGTCTGTGACTTGAACTCTGTGAAGCATTTATTTGGGCTACAATTTCTGAGGCTGGTAACTCTAATAAACTTATCCTCTGCAGCAGAGGTAACTCTGGGTCTTCCATTCCTGTGGTGGTCCTCACGAGAGCCAGTTTCATCACAGCGCTTGATGTTTTCGCGACTGCACTTGAAGAAACTTTTCAAAGTTCTTGAAATGTTCTGGATTGACTGACCTTCAAGTCTTAAAGTAATGATGGACTGTCGTTTCTCTTCACTTATATGAGCTGTTCTTGCCGTAATATGGACTTGGTCGTTTACCAAATAGGGCGATCTTCTGTATACCCCCCCCCCCCCCCCCCCCCCCCCCCCCCTTTCATACTTCAACTATTTGCACATTGTTACAACATCGTACATAGCCAATAATGTAACATTTGAAATGTCTATATTGTTTTAAAACTTTTGTATATTTACCTTGTTTATTTCCCTTTTTGTTTATTGTCTATTCCACTTGCTTTGGCAATGTAAACACAAGTTTCCCATGCCAAGAAAGCCCTTTGAATTGAATTGATTTGAGAGACAGAGAGAGAAACTAGGGGGCTGTCACAAGCTCAACCATGTATCCACAACAGAGTGGAATGCAAACTCAACGGAGGGGCTGAAGATAGATGGCCTCTTTCCTCTTTATCTCCACCATCAGTGTGTGTCCGATGATCCATATGTGTTGTCACTACACAACTAAACCATAGATTGATCTTAATAGGCTTAAACAGCTTCTCTTGCTTCCAACGCTTCCATCCAGCAGAGCACTAATCTAGAAGTTCAGCTTCGCTTGCTTCCAACGCTTCCATCCAGGAGAGCACTAATCTAGAAGTTCTTCCTAAACACTTCTCTTAGCAGCGGGAAATATCCTTTGGGACGAAGGGCAGAAACATTAAGGGGGTAATTCCGACCTGAGTTAAGCGGGCGTAAATGGAACTTAATTCTTATGCACTTTTCTCTCTCCACGTATTCTGACCTTGAATTTAAGCATGAGAATAGTATGATATTCACCCGCTATTCATTTGGGGTGGAGATTTAATAAATGAAGGTGTGGCGGAGGTTTGTCTACAGATGCGCCGTGTTCTGACCTTGACCTAATTCCCTAATAATTCCACCACCTTTACTCGCGAGGAAGCCATGAATAAGGTCTAGCGAATCTGCCGCTTCCAAGTGGAAAAAGCATCTATTTTATTTTTTCCGATATAATCTCCATGCACTGTAATTTATACATTTATAAGAGTTATCAATAAGAGCTAGGTAAATGAGTAATCCTTTTGGAGAACACATAGCAATTGTTTTATACTATTTTTCCTTATGATCCCTGGAGATGAATGTGAAACCAGTCATATGGAAGCAAACTGAAAATCGTGATAACATTACATGTTTTGTGGCCCTTTTTCCACAGTGATGTCGGGCCCTAAGAGTATTTAAGACTGCCACATTAAGGTTGTGAAGGAAACTATTGCTAATACTTCCAGGTAGCACTAGACTCTGGCACATCCTTACCTTTGCTTAGCAGACTACAGACACACAGACACAGACACAACCACAACCACACACAGACACACAGACACACACACACACACACACACACACACACACACACATACACACAGTTTTCTGTTTCTGGACTAAAGTCTTAATCCAACACAGGGGGCAATAATCTCCACTCTGAGCTGATAAGAGTCTTATTGAATATTATGTATTTTTTATAACTGTGTGTGTGTGTGTGTGTGTGTGTGTATATACCCATGTATTCGTATATGTGTGTCTGTGTGTGTTTTCCTACCTGGGATGTGTTTGGCCCAGCCGATGTTGACAACCAGTTCGCGGTCGGCAAGGTCACACAGTGTGGTCAGGGCTTTGATGTCACTGTCGGGGACGGTGGGGTCCGGCATGGCAAAGATACTCTCTGGTTCAGCCACCAGCAGGAGAGAGACCACCTTATTCTCTACCAGACCACCTAGAGGAACTGAGAGAGAGAGACAGAGACAGCGAGAGCAAGAGAGAGAGCAAAAAATAAAGGCAGGTAGAGTGTGTTTTGTATTCTTGAAATTACTACTTAAGTAGTTTTTGGGAGTATCTGTACTTTACTATTTATATTTCTGACAACTTGTACTTTTACTCCACTACATTCCTAAAGAAAATTATATACTTTTTACTCCATACATTTTCCCTGACACCCAAAAGTACTTGTTGCATTTATTATGCTTAGCCGGACAGGAAAATGATCAAATTCACACACTTATCAAGAGAACATCCCTGGTCATCCCTACTGCCTCTGACATGGCGGACTCACTAAACACATACTTAGTTTGTAAATGACGTCTGAGTGTTGGAGTGTGCCCCTAGCTATCCGTAAATTAAAATAAACAAGAAAATGATGGCGTCTGGTTTGCTTAATATAAGCAATTTGAAATGATTTATACTTTTACTTTTGATACTTAAGTATATTTTAGCAATTACATTTACTTTTGATACTTAAGTATATTTCAAACCAAATACTTTCAGACTTTCACTTTTACTTGAGTCATTTTTTATTAAGGTATCTTTACTTTTACTCAAGTATGACAATTGGGTACTTTTCCCACCACTGATTCTTACATGTTCTCTTCTGTGGCAGGCCGTGTTGAGGGTTGAGGTAGGGGCTGTTCTCAGAGTCTATCCTTCTCTTGTACTTCTGTCTGCCCCCACGGACCCGGTCCAGACGCACACCTGAGAGAGAGAGAGAGAGAGAGAGACACACACACACACACACACACACATTTAGGTACATTAAACACACACACATAAATGTACACAAAAACACAGTACTCCTGTTTAGCAGACTACCCCAATTTCAAAACCAGGAGAGTGATGCACTCTTCAAGTTCATTTGATTGACATTTCTCCCTCGTGACATCTCTAAGATTATAGGGAGCCTTAGAGAGAAGTCACATTGCTGGCATAGCAACATCAACCCTGTAACACAATATGTTACAGGGTCATCTTAACAAGCTCAGCGGTAACCTTATCGCCATGGAGATGAGGAGCTAACAGCAAGGTTAGGGGGGTAAGAAGGGAAACATGGTGGGGGTTGGTCACAGCGGACCATTTACATACACACACAAACACACACAGACATGCACATACATGCACATACATGCACATACGCCCATAGTTTCAAGTTCAAGTTTCAAGTTCAAGTTTTTAATGTCACGTGCACTAGTACAGGGAAATGCCTTTCTTGCTTGCTCTTTCCCAACAATGCACTATAAAATAAATGAAAAAGTCAAGTAGAACAAAAACACACGAGAAATAGAAATAATAACAACACGAGAAAGTAAGTAAGCTATATTACAGGGTCAGTTCCAGGGTTAGTGCCAATACCATACGCACATTCCACCATCCAGTGGTATCCAAAGAGAATCTCATACTAATGTGACTTGAGAGAGCTTTTATTAGCATGAGGGGATAGCGTTAGGGTTACGGTTGAGCCAGGATGTGGACGTGAAGCTAGAGGTAGGGTTGAGGCTCAGGGGTTTCATACTCTTAACACATCAATAGTCCATGAATAGTAAGATAAGAGGGGCCAGGGTTAAGGGGTGAGGGAAGGTATTAAGGATTGGATAGCCGGGTAAGCTAGGACCCCTGGACCTTTAGTGATGTCAGTCCTTCCACTGTGGTCGGAAACACGGTCTGGATTAGTCTAGCGGTTGGCAGGTGCTACAGTTTGAAGTTTGTGACGGGTGATGAGGGTGTGTCTGTAGGGAGGGATTTCACTGTGTTGACACACACACTGGATTATATGAAAGCAAAGGAGCAATAGGTGTGTTAGTGTGTAAGGTTTGTTCTGTATGTATGTATGTGTGTGTGGGTGTGAGGATGGTCAAAGAGTTAAACATAGGCATCTGAGCTAAGTGTAACTCTTCAGAGAGGAATGTGCTGACAACCAAAGGGACAAGAATAGCCCTGAAGGATAACAGTGTACAAACACATACAGACACACACACACACATACATACACAGACACACATTCTACACTCTACATCTCTCTGTGTCGGAGAGATCTGAGGGTTCCAATAAGGAGGCGGGTGTTGGGTCACTTCCCCTCCCCCCTCCCCTCTCCCCTCTGCCCTCACCCCTGTTTGAAGTCCCCCTGCACCCTTCGAAGGGGGCTTTACACATTCCCAAAACACACCCGGCAGGATCAAGAGCACGGATATCCACTGAGCACAAGAAAACTGACCCGGATCACCATTCTACATGACATAATTTCCCCCTGGGAGAGACCCGGCACATATAGCCGTCTGCATGTACTGTATGTGTAGTAGAAAAGCCACTGACTGAGGAACTATCCTAAGCTGCTTCGGATAATGGTCTGATGTCAACGAATGCCCTTCCTTATTAGCCTACTGCAAGCTTGTTAGTCAGGCTCTGGGTCATGAAAGGACGTCAAAAGCTCTTATTCTTTAAAGAGATAAACAAACTAAAGAATGGAGCTATTTTTGTGTATATAATAAGGTCAAGCCTTACCTATATCATTAGAATTCTACTCATTCTATTTCAACGGTGTGACCAGAACTTAGATTGTCTTCCATGTGATTAGTGCTATGTGATATGATTAGGACAAACCTCATAGATGCACACTGCTCTGGGGAGAGAGTATGCATAAAGTATTTTTTCTGATTTAACCACATGAGGTAAGAACAGTGTTCCAAGTAGTGGAACAATTAGAATATTTGTCAGTCCACTGCCCTACTGAATTGTGAAACGGAACACTGATTCCGTGCTCAATCAACTTCTATCCAGGTCTCTATTCTAGACCAAGGGTTTCTATCCTTTAGCTGTGTGTTGTGCTGACATGCACCTCTCTCCCCTGTTAAAAGTCACACCACTCTGTCTCTACCTTTACTGCAGCCCCCCAGAGGAAGAGGGGCGTTACCAGGCACGATGAGGCACGTTGCGAGAACCGCTACCAGGGGGGGTTACGATGGGAGTTACGAGGCACGGTTCACATTTCATGGAGGTCCAGAAATCCCACAAGGCATCTGGACGAATTTACGAGGGGGGTGGGGGGTGGGAGCGGGGGGGGGCATTGCTATAGGAGCCAGGGCTGGGTGCTGGAGATGCCCTTCCCCTATTAAAAATAAGCTAATTAAAAAAGGAGACACATGCACGCACGAGCACACGCTCGTACACATACAAACACACAGGGTGACCGTAAACAGATGTTGGATCCTTGTCACCCTGGTTGACGGATGATTAAATCAAAGCTGATGAGCTGAAGGGGGAGGGAGCAGGTGGCAGTAAACTCTCTTTCCTTCTCTCTCTCTATCCTCTCTCTTTCTCTCACTCCTCCCCCTCTTATTTGATAAACAGCTGTCGGTTGCTCACACGCAGCCTTCAATAAGTGGTTCATACAGTGAAGCTTTGCCTTTTTGGGTCACTTCTATATCTGGCCAACAATATGTCACCGGCAGCCACACACTTCAGTCTTGACCACAAGACCACAAGACCATGAGACCGCTGCACCAGACACTAACTATAAAACTCTCCAGAGTCTCTGGGGGCCATAGATGTAGAATGTAAGATATGTCTGTTGTTCTAGATAATCTATTTCTATTCTGTGCATGTGTGAGTAGTGTGACAAATTGGAAAAGAGACTGTATGTCGGAGAGAAAGAGAATGATAGACACACACGTTCACACACACATACTCTGGCAGACAGCCATTTTCTATTTCAGAGGTATCGTAGCCAGTAGCGTCCTATAGAGACACTGGGCATTGTTCTGCTAACACCATACATGAACACTGAGCAGTAACACTAGCAGGCACTAAGGGGCTGGACCTGTTTAACAGGCAAAGGGATTACATTTCCCTCTGTAGATCCAGACTCCCTCTACACTAATAGATTTGCCAACGTATGGAGACCTGTTGTCTTTACTTCAAAGATATCCTAGATCTTGATTTTTAGTTTCTTTCTCTTCATTGTATTAAAACACGGTTATAAGACTGAATAGATAAAGATCCATTGGGATATAGAAACATTATGAACACCTGCTCTTTCCATGACATAGACTGACCAGGTAAATCCAGGTGAAAGCTATGATCCCTTATTTATGTCGATTGTTAAAATCCCCTCAATCAGTGTAGATGAAGGGGAGAAGACAGGTTAAAGAAGGATTTTTAAGCCTTGAGACAATTGAGACATGGATTGTGTACACCGAGTATACCAAACATTAGGAACACCGGAACACCTTCCTGATATTGAGTTGACCCCCCTTTTGCCCTCAGAACAGCCTCAATTCATCAGGGCATGTACTCTACAAGGTGTCAAAAGTGTTCCACAGGGATGCTGGCCCATGTTGACTCAAATGCTTCCGACAGTTGTGTCAAGTTGGCTGGATGTCCTATGGGTGGTGGACCATTCTTGATACACACAGGAAAGTGTTAAAAGTGAAAAACCCAGCAGCATTGCAGTTCTTGACACACTCAAACCAGTGTGCCTGGCACCTACTACTATACCCCGTTTAAAGGCACTTAAATATGTTGTCTTGCCCATTCACCCTCTGAATGGCACACATACACAATCCATGTCAAAATTGTCTCAAGGTTGAAATATTATTCTTTAACCTGTCTCCTCCCCTTCATAATGTTTTCTACGCTCAGTTTATATTTAAAGGTACATAGAGGAGTAGAGAAGTTCCTTCCTCACCTTCTCTCATCATGCCCACGTTGAGACACTTCATGAAGCGACAGGACTGACACGACTTCCTCCTCCGCTTGGTGATCTCACACTCACTGGTGGCCGGGCAGCTGTACTCGATGTTACCTGTGGGTGGGAAAGAAAGGAGAGGGGGGATAGATAGAGCGAAATAGAGAGAAACATGTAAAGACAGAGAGGGGAGAGATTGAGAGACAGAAAGCCAGTCAAGAAAAGGGGACAATGTTCTCTATCACGTCTAAAACCGTTCATTCAACCACTTCAAAACAAACAAGATGCTGAAAAGACACAGGAAACTCCAATGAGGAAAACCAGGAAACTTTCCTGGAAGTCAGCTAATCAGCAGCACTCTGAGCTGCCACATCCTATTAAAATCAGGAAGCATCTGATCACCTGATCATCAGATCTAATGTAAGCATTTGATCTGGCAGCCATCCAGGTATGAACTTTGAGCCATTTGCATGTGGAGGCGGCTTAAGGAGCCTAAAGCTGGTCTTACCACGCGAGGGCCATGCCTCTGGAACACGCACAGTCACAGACAATCACATTAAAACCCCCACACAATATGCTGCAAACATATGGATGAGACACACATACAAACACACACAACCTGTAACGGAACCTGTAAGCTTGCGTCCTTAGAGTTGATCAGGTGTTGATACTAAAACAGGGGCTGGGAACTTATCAGCCTACTGCAAGTTTATCAGTACAAAGCAATACACCTCTGGTGTCTGTCCATATATACTGTAACACACGTGGGCACTTCAGGTGAACTCTTAACCCCATTGTTTCTATTAATTATTGTGTCTTACCCTGGATGGTCCTCTTGAAGAAAGCCTTGCAGGCCTCACAGGAGGCCACTCCGTAGTGGTACCCTGACCCCACATCTCCACACACCAGACACAGCCTCTTAGCCACAGAATCCAGCAAGAACTCACACTTCACCTGGCCATCCTCACCACCAAACCGCCTGAAGGGAGAGAGAGAGAGAGACAGAGCGAGAGAGAGAGAGAGAGAGAGAGAGAGAGAGAGAGAGAGAGAGAGAGAGTGAGAAAGGGGTTAGACACACATACTGTATATGGTACATGCACCCAAGCATAAAGCCCTACACACACACACACACACAGACAAAAAGACACACACACCTGTTGGCTGTGCCATTGTTCCCCATGCCCGCTGTGTGTCCATAGAGCCCTGGTGAGTCCAAGCCGTTGGTGTGGTTGTGACTCTTGCCCAGGAGACCAAAGCTGGAGTTGGTGTCTGAGGAGGAGCCCTCAGGGCTGGGTTGGGATGGGCTGTCCCCCTGGAAGCTGGGGCTGGGGCTGGAGGGCTCGCGCTTTATGGGGGGACAGGGGTGGTCCAAGCCCCTCACAGACATCCTGCCCAGGAGCCTGACAGGAGGAAAGGGGATTCATTTATGGTAACATCTGTTAACATAATGGGTGGTACATTGGCTTGGATGTGTGTAAGATATCCTTTCTGTCTAGATCTATCGGTCAGTTAGAACACTTGACCTCTATGCAGACCTACACAAATACACCCACCCATACAATCTCATACCTGTTCTGACCACATACACACTGATAACCAACCATCTTCCATCACACATTCCCCCTCCCCCTTTCCCTTACTCTATCACAGGGACAAAAAGAAAAAGGGTAGGAACCGTCTCCCCCTCTCTCCATTCTCTGTCACTCTCTCCCTCTTCCTCTGTGCCTCCTACCCCTATCCCTCTCTCCTGATCCCTTTATCTCTCTGTTTGTCTATCTATCCATCCATCTCCACGCTCACCCACCCAGCCGTTTGCAGTTTCCCACATATGCAAAGCTGGGGTCTATTAGACCAACTTGTTATGACAACAGGAGATTGCGTAGGCAAACATATGGAAACCAAAACAAAGATTCTGGCCCAGAGGTTTATTCTCACAGATCTCTTGGTGAAGGTATGATGCAGTAAATATTACCCATTGTGTTCAGTTACCAAAAGCCAAGTATTTTCATCAGAATTCCAGCTCTGTCAAGTTGAGAGTTGTAGAGGTATTCATTTTAGGAATGTACTGTGTTTGTATGCTAGTGCCGTATGTTAATGGAATTGTTCAAACTGTACGCCATGTGTTTTCACATTCTACTGTATGGATGGGTGTTCATCCCCCTACATTCATGCATGTTAAAGCACAGATGAGCCTGCCCATGTGAGAGATAAAAGCAGAATAGACACTAATGTTGTCATGTGGTCCAGGAACTGGGCACACTTATTCTTATTTTAGATTAACTGATACCTACAGTGTACGTGAAAGTATTCCAAAACATATGGCGTTTACATGCATGTTTAAATGCTGTGCTGACCCATGTGGCCATTGGCTAGCACACACACTGTACATACTTCATTCACATTTTTTCAAATGTGGCCTTGTGTCATCGTAAACACTCAAACACTCACACATGCTCGCTTGCCATCAAAGAGCCACTGAACACGCCAATTGGCACGTATGTTTTTCTGTTGCTCATTAGAAAAACAAGATTTCAGTCATGGAGTTGTGTTTCCTGACCGATTCTGCATTTGGTTAAGGATGTTTGTCCTCCATGAGATTAGACGGGGAAGCCTATTTCACGTCCTGAAAATCCCCAGAATAAAGCTCCACAGTGGAGGTGTCATAATACCCATAAAACCTAACGGTCAAACAGGGAAATGGTTCCAATTGTTTTTCCACCATTCATTTTTCCCATAGGGAATTTTTTTTACATAGAAAATAAGGGCTGTGTTTCGTGTAAGCTTACCCTTGTGTGACGTTTTGATAACCATGTAAATCTCTCTCGGACAAAGTGACTTATATCAATATATTTGTCTCTATTTTCTCTCAGATTCGAAAATGCTCATTAGCATCAAAGTAGACATCATTCAAGACTAAAAATCCCTGCAAGCTCCTGCACGTCATCTCTAGCTGACACCTTTGCTAACAGGTGTTGTGTCAATTTAAAACATGCACAAGACAGTTCGCAGAATTGTCAATTTAAAGAAACGTAGCCAATTTATTAATTCCTAAATTTTGCTGACATTAGACAGTTAATCCAGAGATTCTTACCTTTGCCTCGATTCGGCAGTCTCGTCCAGATCCTCATGGCATTTGTAGTTCTTTATGATAGCCACATAAGGAGCTAATTAGCATTTCATTTTGGGGGGGTAAATACAGGCGAATATATTGATAAAAGTCACCTTGTCCAAGAGAGATTTACACAGTTATCAAAATGTCACACCAGGGTAAGCCTACATGAAACACAGCCCTTATTTTAAGTGTTTCTAAAATCCTTTATGGGAAAAATGAATGGTGGAAAAACGATTGGAACCATTTCCTTATTTGACCGCTAGGTTTTATGGGTATTATGACTCATACTGTGGTACTCTATGAATCTAAGATAACTCAAGAAATCTAACTAAGGTGTTTGGTGCAGTATTCCTCAAATAAAGACATTTGCAACGTGTTGTCTTATGTAAACAAAGTCGGAGCTGCTGGGCAGATCTGCCTCACTGTCTATACTATTGGAAAGAGAACAATCACCGCAGCTGTTCACCCCATATTAGTGGGCAAATGGATATTGTCAAATCAAAACCCAACCTTCCTTTATCCGTTGTGACGCACGGATGTTACAAACTCTGTTTTAGACGAGACTGACTTTATGACCAAAATTATCCTAATTAAACTTTGTAGTCAATTTTGACAATAACTGTTTCTGACTCATATTGATATAAAATAGGCCGTTTTCAAAGGGATTAGTTGCTTTTCAAAGGCAGTCGCTCTTTAAAATCACTCACAAACTCCCTGTCTGTGTGGTGGAACCCAAGCTCTGTTCCTGCCATGTAAATCCACACGGTCATGACCACCACTCATTTGGTAGGCAAAGTATCTGGCTGCCCTAAACATCACCAGAGTCAACCATGACCACGCTCTATCGCCCCTCGAAATCCACAGAGAGAGAGAGATATTGAAAGAAATAGAGAGAGAAAGAGAGAGAGAGACACCTCTGTCATTCAAACTTCAACCTTATTCTACTTCAGCTCTAAAATGGATAAACTAATATATTGTTCCCTCCGAAGTGGTCCAACAAAGCTGGCAGAGGACAAGGGAGTGTGAAGGAACCAGTTTGTTCTCTCATCAGCTATCTATCACACAGGTAGATGTTGCTGTGTCAGCTGCCCACAGACCTGAATTAAGGCATTCTCCAATTACTTGGTGGCCATAGAATTTTCTCTCATAGGGCCCGATGACTTAGGAAATGTACGCCTTTCCTACGCACGCCTTTCCTACGCACTTCTCAGTAGTTGGTATTCTGACTTACCTTATGAAGGTGCTTAACAGGCTTTGCAGGCGTGGTTCCCTTGCGCACGCTGAATACATTTAATTAAACCGCAGAAAACCCTCCTACTTGCTGGCCAACAGATTTTCTCGTGGAGTTTTCATTCAGTAGGGTTTTTAGTAAATTTAATCTAAAGCCATCCCTTTAAATTTGGTGTACCTTGAATTAGAATTTTCTTGACAGGCTCACTAGAATATATGGAGAGAACGGTTCAGAATACTAGGAATCAATGAAAGAAAGCCATATAAATACACGGTATTTCAAATCAAATTGTATTTGTCAAATGTGCCGAATACAACAGGTATGAAATGCTTACCGTGAAATGCTTAAAAAATTAAATGAAATAAAAAAGTAACACAATAAAATAACAATAACGAGGCTATATACAGGGGGTACCGGTACCAAGTCAATGTGCGGGGGTACAGGTTAGTTGAGGTAATTTGTACATGTAGGTAGGGGTAAAGTGACTATGCATTGATAATAAGTAGCAGCAGTGTAAAAACAAAGGGAGGGGGGAGGTGTCAATGTAAATAGTCTGGTTGGCCAATTGATGAATTGTTCAGCAGTCTACTGGCTTGGGGGTAGAAGCTGTTAAGGAGCCTTATGGTTCTAGACTTGGCACTCCGGTACCGCTTGCCATGCGGTAGCAGAGAGAACAGTCTATGACTTGGGTGACTGGAGTCTTACTCTGATACCGCCGGCGGTGATGCAACCGGTCAGGATGCTCTCGATGTGCAGCTGTATAACTTTTTAAGGATCTGGGGACCCATGCCAAATCTTTTCAGTCTCCTGAGGGGGAAAAGGTGTTGTCGTGCCCTCTTCACGACTGTCTTGGTGTGTTTGGACCATGATAGTTTGTTGGTGATGTGGACACCAAGGAACTTGAAACTCTCGACCCGCTCCACTACAGCCCTGTCGATGTTAATGGGGGCCTGTTAGGCCCGCCTTTTCCTGTAGTCCATGATCAGCTCCTTTGTCTTGCTCACATTGAGGGAGAGGTTGTTGTCCTGGCACCACACTGCCAGGTCTCTGACCTCCTCCCTATAGGCTGTCTCTTCATTGTCGGTGATCAGGCCTACCACTGTTGTGTCGTCAGCAAACTTAATGATGGTGTTGGAGTCGTGTTTTGCCACGCAGTCGTGGGTGAACAGGGAGTACAGGAGGGGACTAAGCACTCACACCTGAGGGGCCCCAGTGTTGAGGATCAGCATTGCAGATGTGTTGTTGCCTACCCTTACCATCTGGGGGCGGCCCGTCAGGAAGTCCAGGATCCAGTTGCAGAGGGAGGTGTTTAGTCCCAGGGTCCTTAGCTTAGTGATGAGCTTTGTGGGCACTATGGTGTTGAACGCTGAGCTGTAGTCATTGAACAGCATTCTCACATAGGTGTTCCTTTTGTCCATGTGGGAGAGGGCAGTGTGGAGTCGATTGAGATTGTGTCATCTGTGGATCTGTTGGGGCGGTATGTGAATTGGAGTGGGTCTAGGGTTTCCGGGATGATGGTGTTGATGAGAGCCATGACCAGCCTTTCAAAGCACTTCATGGCTACCGACGTGAGTGCTACGGGGAGGTAATCATTTAGGCAGGTTACCTTTGCTTCCTTGGGCACAGGGACTATGGTGGTCAGCTTGAAACATGTAGATATTACAGACTCGGTCAGGGAGAGGTTGAAAATGTCAGTGAAGACACTTGCCAGTTGGTCCACACATGCTTTGAGTACACGTCCTGGTAATCTGTCTGGCCCCGCGGCTTTGTGAATGTTGATCTGTTTAAAGGTCTTGCTCACATCGGCTACCGAGAGCGTGATCACACAGTCGTCCGGAACAGCTGATGCTCTCATGCACACTTCAGTGTTGCTTGCCTCGAAGCTAGCATAAAAGGCATTTAGCTCATCTGGTAGGCTCACGTCACTGGGCAGCTCGCGGCTGGGTTTCCCTTTGTAGTCCGTAATAGTTTGCATGCCATTCCACATTCGACGAGCGTCAGAGCCAGTGTAGTATGATTCAATCTTAGTCCTGTATTGCCTGTTTGATGGTTCGTCTGAGTGCGTAGCGGGATTTCTTATAAGCATCCAGATTAGTGTCCCGCTCCTTGAAAGCGGCAGCTCTAGCCTTTAGCTTGGTGCGGATGTTGCCTGTAATCCATGGCTTCTGGTTGCAGTTTTTAATGTCCTGTTGGTAGGATACTCTTTGCCTCCTTTTTAGCACCAATTGGTAGATTTAAAAATACTTAGATCTCGTATATTATTTAGGGTTAGGAAAGTATTTATGAATAATAAATAAAAAATGGTTTGGAGAGCCTTTATGCACAAAATATATTGGTAAATCAAAAATAGTGGTTTGACTCATCCTGAAAATTGCCATATTCAATTGTTCAATCCATGAAATATTGGAAGGTGAAAAAAGTGTACAATAGAGATTGAACAATATTTCCTAAAATCTACCCTAATCCTCGAACTGTATGACAACGGTCCAGTCATCGTGAACCGTACACTACGCTGCAGTTTTAGTGTGGTCTGAGTTCCATAATGATTCAAATTTATTATTAATAAATTATTGCACAACGTTAGCCTAATATGATCCACTAATGCTAGCGACGCTCAGGAACAACGGCACGGGCATGACATAGGAAAGAAAGGTAAATGGAATGGAACAATGCAAAATGTAGGCTACAAAATGAAGGAAACAAACACTAAAGTGACACTTATAAATGCATGTGGGTATTACTGACGGTGTCTCCCGATAGTGGCTAATATTTAACATGATAGAAATTGTCAAATAAAACAGGGAAAAGCCAGGGCATACATAATTATAACATTTTAAAATGTGGGCCCTACAGAAGCATATAGCTTGGGTCTCCTAACCACTCTTATAAAAATGGTAGATTATCAGATACTCAATAAGAAGGTCTGATTTCATTATTACTGAAACATGATCCAAGTGGTAAATATAAAGATCCAGTCCATTAAAAAAATTGGAGGCCCCTTACACTTCAGTGTTGTGATGCAAAAATTATAGCAAAATGCATAGCGCATAGAATTAAAAAGGTATTGTCGGATATTATTCATCCTAATCAGACAGGTTTTTTACATGGACGATACATTGGAGATAATATAAGACAAGTACTGGAAACAATAGAACACTTTGAAAAATCTGGGAAACCAGGCCTTGTATTCATAGCTGACTTTGAAAAGGCTTTTGATAAAGTACGACTGGAATTTATATATATATATATATATATATATATACATTAAAGTTATGTATTGTAACCCTAGGTGTAAAATAGTAAATAATGTATACTTCTCCGAAAATATTAAACCGTCAAGAGGAGTAAAATAAAGTTGTCCACTGTCGGCATATCTATTTATTATGGCCATCGAAATGTTAGCTATTAAAATCAGATCCAGCAATAATTTCAAGGGGTTAGAAATCCAGGGCTTGAAAACAAAGGTGTCATTGAAGGCTGGTGATTCATGTTTTCTTTTAAATCCACAATTTGGATCCCTCCACAGCCTAATATGGGCTATACTCGGCCTTGTCTCAGGATTGTAAGTTGGTGGTTGGGGATATCCCTCTAGTGGTGCGGGGGCTGTGCTTTGGCGGAGTGGGTGGGGTTATATCCTTCCTGTTTGGCCCTGTCCGGGGGTTTCTTCGGATGGGGCCACAGTGTCTCCGGACCGCTCCTGTCTCAGCCTCCAGTATTTATGCTGCAGTAGTTTATGTGTCGGGGGGCTGGGGTTAGTTGGTTATACCTGGAGTACTTCTCCTGTCTTATCCAGTGTCCTGTGTGAATTTAAGTATGCTCTCTCTAATTCTCTCGTTCTCTCTTTCTCTCTGAGAACCTGAGCCCTAGGACCATACGTCAGGACTACCGGGCATGATGACACCTTGCTGTCCCCAGTCCGCCTGGCCTTGCTGCTATTCCAGTTTCAACTGTTCTGCCTGCGGCTACGAAACCCCTACCTGTCCCAGACCTGCTGTTTTCAACTCTTAATGATCGGCTATGAAAAGCCAACTGAGAGACCTGAGCCCTAGGACCATACGTCGGGACTACCGGCCGTGGTGACTCCTTGCTGTCCCCAGTCCGCCTGGCCTTGCTGCTATTCCAGTTTAAACTGTTCTGCCTGCGGTTATGGAACCCCTACCTGTCCCAGACCTGCTGTTTTCAACTCTTAATGATCGGCTATGAAAAGCCAACTGAGATTTATTCCTGATTATTATTTGACCATGCTTGTCACTTATGAACATTTTTGAACATCTTGGCATGGTTCTGTTATAATCTCCACCCGGCACAGCCAGAAGAGGACTGGCCACCCCTCATAGCCTGGTTCCTCTCTAGGTTTCTTCCTAGGTTTTCGCCTTTCTAGGGAGTTTTTCCTAGCCACCGTGCTTCTACACCTGCATTACTAGCTGTTTGGGGTTTTAGGCTGGGTTTCTGTACAGCACTTCGAGATATTAGCTGATGTAAGAAGGGCTATATAAAATAAAATTGATTGATTAATAGAGGATCTAGATACATTTTCTAACCTATCTGGATTACAACCTAATTATGATGTGTACATATTGGATCACAAAAAAATACAACTTTTACATTACCGTGTAGTTCACCAATAAAATGGTCTGACGGTAATGTGGACATACTCGGTATACATATCCCAAAATAAATAAATAATCTCACTTCAATAAATGTTTATAGAAATGTAGCAAAAATAGATAAGATCTTGCTACCATGGAAAGGAAAATACCTGTCTAGTTGTGGAACAATCACCCTGATTAACTCTTTAGTCATACCTACCTGTTTTTTAAATTATATGAGCAAAAAATATTCCATTTTATTTGGAACGGCAAGCCAGACAAAATTAAACGGGCCTATTAATAATTAATATGAATTCGAAGGGCAAAAATGATTAAATATTAAAGCATTAGACCTCTCACTAAAGGCGTCAGTCATACAAAAGTTATACTTAAATCCGAACTGGTTCTCTAGCAGATTAGAAAGAATGTCCCACCTCATGTTCAAGAATGGCCTTTTTCCCTTTATTCAGATTACAACCTCTCACTTTCGGTTATTTGAAAATGAAATAATCTCCAAAATATCGCCATAGAAAGTTGGTTGCAATTTCAGTTTAATCCACCAGAAAGGACAGAACAAATAATACAACAAATATTGTGGTTAAACTCAAATATACTAATTGATTAAAAAAAAACATACTTTTTTGAAATAATGTTTAAAAAATGTATAATCTTTGTAAATTATATCATAAATAGGACTGGAGCTCTGTCAAAGTGACCATCGGGTTCTTGGTCACCTCCCTGACCAAGGCCCTTCTCCCCCGATTGTTCAGTTTGGCCCGGCAGCCAGCTCTGGATCAATGGAAACAGGATGCACCTTAGCTCAATTTCGAGTCTCATAGTGAAAGCTCTGAATACTTATGTAAATTGTGTATATCTGTTTTTTATTTTTAATAAATTGCAAAAATTCTAAAAACCTGTTTTCGCTTTGTAATTATGGGGTATTGTGTGTAGATTGATGAGGAAAACATTTTATTTAATCAATTTTAGAATAAGGCTATAACGTAAATGGAAAAACGGAAGGGGTCTGAATACTTTCCGAATGTACTGTATATACAGTGGGGGAAAAAAGTATTTAGTCAGCCACCAATTGTGCAAGTTCTCCCACCTAAAAAGATGAGAGAGGCCTGTAATTTTTATCATAGGTACACGTCAACTATGACAGACAAATTGAGAATTTTTTTCCCAGAAAATCACATTGTAGGATTTTTAATGAATTTATTTGCAAATTATGGTGGAAAATAAGTATTTGGTCACCTACAAACAAGCAAGATTTCTGGCTCTCACAGACCTGTAACTTCTTCTTTAAGAGGCTCCTCTGTCCTCCACTCGTTACCTGTATTAATGGCACCTGTTTGAACTTGTTATCAGTATAAAAGACACCTGTCCACAACCTCAAACAGTCACACTCCAAACTCCACTATGGCCAAGACCAAAGAGCTGTCAAAGGACACCAGAAACAAAATTGTAGACCTGCACCAGGCTGGGAAGACTGAATCTGCAATAGGTAAGCAGCTTGGTTTGAAGAAATCAACTGTGGGAGCAATTATTAGGAAATGGAAGACATACAAGACCACTGATAATCTCCCTCGATCTGGGGCTCCACGCAAGATCTCACCCCGTGGGGTCAAAATGATCACAAGAACGGTGAGCAAAAATCCCAGAACCACACGGGGGGACCTAGTGAATGACCTGCAGAGAGCTGGGACCAAAGTAACAAAGCCTACCATCAGTAACACACTACGCCGCCAGGGACTCAAATCCTGCAGTGCCAGACGTGTCCCCCTGCTTAAGCCAGTACATGTCCAGGCCCGTCTGAAGTTTGCTAGAGTGCATTTGGGTGATCCAGAAGAGGATTGGGAGAATGTCATATGGTCAGATGAAACCAAAATATAACTTTTTGGTAAAAACTCAACTCGTCGTGTTTGGAGGACAAAGAATGCTGAGTTGCATCCAAAGAACACCATACCTACTGTGAAGCATGGGGGTGGAAACATCATGTTTTGGGGCTGTTTTTCTGCAAAGGGACCAGGACGACTGATCCGTGTAAAGGAAATAATAAATGGGGCCATGTATCGTGAGATTTTGAGTTAAAACCTCCTTCCATCAGCAAGGGATTGAAGATGAAACGTGGCTGGGTCTTTCAGCATTACAATGATCCCAAACACACCGCCCGGGCAACGAAGGAGTGGCTTCGTAAGAAGCATTTCAAGGTCCTGGAGTGGCCTAGCCAGTCTCCAGATCTCAACCCCATAGAAAATCTTTGGAGGGAGTTGAAAGTCCGTGTTGCCCAGCGACAGCCCCAAGACATCACTCCTCTAGAGGAGATCTGCATGGAGGAATGGGCCAAAATACCAGCAACAGTGTGTGAAAACCTTGTGAAGACTTACAGAAAACGTTTGACCTGTGTCATTGCCAACAAAGGGTATATAACAAAGTATTGAGAAACTTTTGTTATTGACCAAATACTTATTTTCCACCATAATTTGCTAATAAATTCATTACAAATCCTACAATGTGATTTTCCGGATTTTTTTCCCTCATTTTGTCTGTCATAGTTGACGTGTACCTATGATGAAAATTACAGGCGTCTCTCATCTTTTTAAGTGGGAGAACTTGCACAATTGGTGGCTGACTAAATACTTTTTTCCCCACTGTATATACACTACCGTTCAAAAGTTTGGGGTCACTTAGAAATGTCCTTGTTTTCGAAAGAAAAGCAATTTTTTTGTCCATTAAAATATCAAATTGATCGGAAATACAGTGTAGACATTGTTAATGTTGTAAATGGCTATTATAGCTGGAAATGGCAGATTTTTTATGGAATATCTACATAGGCGTACAGAGGCCCATTATCAGCAACCATCAGTCCTGTGTTCCAATGGCACATTGTGTTTGCTAATCCAAGTTTATCATTTTTAAAGGCTAATTGATCATTTTGCAATTATGCTGAATACTGTTGTGCTGATTAAAGAAGCAATAAAACTGCTCTTCTTGAGACTAGTTGAGTATTTGTTTTATTTTTTATTTAACCTTTATTTAACTAGGCAAGTCAGTTAAGAACAAATTCTTATTTACAATGACGGCCTACACCGGCCAAACCCGGACGACGCTGGGCGCCGCCCTATTGGACTCCCAATCACGGCCGGTTGTGATACAGCCTGGAATCAAACCAGGGGGTCTGTAGTGACGCCTCAAGCACTGAGATGCAGTGCCTTAGACCGCTGCGCCACTCGGGAGCCCAGTATCTGGAGAATCAGCAATTGTGGGTTTGATTACAGGCACAAAATGGCCTGAAACAAATAACTTTCTTCTGAAACTCGTCAGTCTATTCTTGTTCTGAGAAATGAAGGCTATTCCATGCGAGTAATTGCCAAGAAACTGAAGATCTCGTACAACGCTGTGTACTACTCCCTTCACAGAACAGCGCAAACTGGCTCTAACCAGAATTGAAAGAGGAGTGTGAGGCCGGTACTGTATACATGTGTATGTATATATGTATGTATTTATGTATCTACAATATTCAAGCTGATCTACCCCCTTTTTTTTATTTGTACAAAATATAACTTCAAAGGGCTCCTGTACTAGGCTACCCGTGCATGTTCGTCGACTCACAGCATATTTCCAGCCTCCATATTTTACACAAAACACCAAAAAGTGTAGGCTTAATGACATTTGGCGATTGTCATTAGGCTGGAATTTATGCGTCCACTGTTTTCCGCACGTCTTGGTGTCGGCCACTCATCTCTGCCTTGGCAAAATGTCAGTGTTCTTGTCAAACCACATCGCATTTTGGAGCGTAGGCTATACCACCCATTTTCAAGTCCATTCACACATTTTTCATGCCTCTGACATGTGTTAATGATACATTATGGTATAATAACCTACAGTTTTCTTGACATTTTGTTTTAATTATTGTGATAGGCTCATGTTTTACTTTCACCTCTGGTTTGCTTCAATATGACTGGTTTCACATTTGTCTCCAGGGATCATAAAGAAAAATTATTTACTTAGCGCTTGTCAAATAAAATAAAATAAAATGTTATTTGCCACATGTGCCGAATACAACAGGTATAGACCTTACAGTGAAATGCTTACTTACAAGCCCATAACCAACAATGCTGTTTTAAGAAAGTTAAAAAAAGTGTTAAGTAAAAAATTGATAAGTAAAAAATAAAATGTGCAAATAATTAAAGAGCAGCAGTAAAATAAAATAACAGTAGGGAGGCTATATACAGGGGGGTACCGGTGCAGAGTCAATGTGCGGGGGCACCGGCTAGTTGAGGTAATTGAGGTAATATGTACATGTAGGTAGAGTTAAAGTGACTTTGCATAGATAATAAACAGAGAGTAGCAGCGTAAAAGCTCGTATCAATATATACAGTGCAATGAGAATGGTGTTAATTCTATCTGAAAAAAGATAGTAGATGCTTTTTCCACTTGGAACAAGCAGGTTCGCTCGACCTTATTCATGGTTTCCTCGCGCTTAAAGGTGGTGGAATAATTAGGGAATTAAGTCAAGGTCAGAACACGGCCTTATCTGTAGACACACCTCCGCCACACCTCCACTGTGATCTCCACCCCAAACAAATTGTGGGTGAATATGCTATTCTCATGCTTAAGTATGCAAAGAGAGAAAAGTGAAATAAAAAGGGAATTACATTCCATTTACGTGCACTTAACTCGGGTCAGAATTCCCCCAATATGCAATAGCATTACAGTGGAATGGTAAGACATGACGTGGTATCTAACCTGACAGATCTATAATCTATGGCTCTTCATAAAGGCTCATCAAAGCCCTGTCAGCGCAGTTCCCATAGACTCTGGGTGTAAATCAGACTCAGAGGAACATTATAAAACAACAGGCTGTGTGTGAGTGTGTCAGTGTATGTGTGTGTGTGTGTGCGCGTGTTTGTGTGTGTGTGTGTGTGTGTGTACAACCCTCTGTCTGCTCGTATCCAAAACAACTCTAATTGCACCTTGGAAACAAAGGGCAAAATGCAGCGTGAAACGACTGACGGTCAGACAGAAAGAGAGAGGGGGATAAACATCGAAGCAGACAGATAGAGAGAATGTGAAAGACAGAGAGGGAGAGAAAGAAAGGGCTCTAACCCAGTGTGTGTAGAAAGAAAGAAAAAAGAAACGAGAGGAGGCAACACTCACTCTCAAATGAGCAGAGTCACAATACAGACGATGACCAAAAGGACAAGAGAGCCGGGGACACACACACCCACACACACACCCACACACACACCCACACACACACCCACACAGGGAAGGAAAAAGAAGTAGAGGGAGGGAGGGAATGTGTAAAATTGTTTACAGGACTAAAAGGTGGGTAGAAAAACTATACATTCAGGTCTCATTAAAATGATTATTTGGGTATACTTTGTTTTTGGGTCTTCCATTCCTGTGGCGGTCCTCATGAGAGCCAGTTTCATCATAGCGCTTGATGGTTTTTGCGACTGCACTTTCAAAGTTCTTGAAATGTTCCGTATTGACTGACCTTCATGTCTTAAAGTAATGATGGACTGTCGTGTCTCTTTGCTTGTTTGAGCTGTTCTTGCCATAATATGGACTTGGTCTTTTACCAAATAGGGCTATCTTCTGTATACCCTACCTTGTCACAACACAAATGCACTAAGAAGGAAAGAAATTCCACAAATTAACTTTTAAGAAGGCACACTTGTTAATTGAAATGCATTCCAGGTGACTACCTCATGAAGCTGGTTGAGAGAATGCCAAGAGTGTGCAAAGCTGTCATCAAGGCATAGGGTGGGTATTTGAAGAATCTCAAATATAAAATATAAAATATATTTTGATTTGTTTAACACTTTTTTGGTTACTACATGATTCCATATGTGTTACTTCATAGTTTGGATGTCTTCACTATTATTCTACAATGTAGAAAATAGTAAAAAATTAAGAAAAACCCTGGAATGAGTAGGTGTGTCCAAACATTTGACTGGTACTCTATGTGTGGATGTAGGTTACTCTAGCTATGCATCCTCCTTAACTTCCTCAATTAGCCCCTAACCCCTAACTCCTAACCCCCTGGTCAGTGATTTGGGTCCATTAGGAGTCTCGTGCATGGTGATTCCTAATGGACCAATTGGAGATGAGGTATCAGGCCGGAGCTGAAACACTAGCATCACTGATGAGTCTTAGTTGAAGTGTGTAGTGGGCTTGGGTCAAATCAGTTGTTGCTGGAGCTGTTGGGTCAAACCAGTGAGGGGCTGGAGCTGTTTGGTCAAACCAGTTAAGGGTTGGAGCTGTTGGGTCAAACCAGTTAAGGGTTGGAGCTGTTGGGTCAAACCAGTTAAGGGTTGGAGCTGTTGGGTCAAACCAGTTAAGGGTTGGAGCTGTTGGGTCAAACCAGTTAAGGGCTGGAGCTGTTGGGTCAAACCAGTTAAGGGTTGGAGCTGTTGGGTCAAACCAGTTAGTGCTGGAGCTATTGGGTCAAACCAGTTAAGGGCTGGAGCTGTTGGGTCAAACCAGTTAAGGGCTGGAGCTGTTGGGTCAAACCAGTTAAGGGCTGGAGCTGTTGTGTCAAACCAGTTAAGGGCTGGAGCTGTTGTGTCAAACCAGTTAAGGGTTGGAGCTGTTGTGTCAAACCAGTTAAGGGTTAGAGCTGTTGGGGCAGGATGGGTTAGTGTGCACGCAACATGTCTTGACAGACTGGGGAAGGGGATAAACATGGTAACACTTCTCCTATACCTGTATATTATATATGCCATTTAGCAGACGTTTTTATCCAAAGCGACTTACAATCATGCGTGCAAACAAACAGTTTATGTATGGGTGGTCCCAGAAATCGAACACACTATCCTGACATTGCAAGCGCCATGTTCTATTAAAGATGTACTACGCAGAAATCGCTCCACCATTTCCACTTAATTTCAGTTTATGTGACAAAACAAGCAAGTATAGTGTGGAGAATCATTGTACCATCTATAACCAAAAATATTGTATTTTCAGCTGTTTGAATCTGGTGTACAAAACCGAAAGTAAAAGACACAAAAACATAACTTAAGAACGGGGAGCATAGAAATAGTGCACATAGAACAGATATACCGCTTCTTAAACATGCTTTCAATGAGAATGACAGATCTTTAACACACATTTCTATGTGAATTTGCTCAGGTCACCCAAAAAGTTACATATTGCAGCTTTAAGTGAGCTACAGAGAACCACATATTTTCACTGTAATTACACTATCAACAACACATAGTTACACAAAACATAAACGCATGCTCTGTCTCTAAATCCTCTACTCACCCCCACACATTTCACTGTGCTTTCCTCACCTCATCTGCCTCTACTTCCTAATCTTCTTTCTCTCTCACTTCCAACTCTCCCTTTTCTTCTCTCACATTTTCACTCTCTCTTGCTCCCCTCCCTCCCACCTTCTCTTTCCCTCTCAGTTCTACTCCCTCAGCTCTGCGTACACACTGCAGGTACGTGGGTTTCATCTCTCATTCCAACACTCTCTTTTTCAGTAAAAATCCTCTCATTCAGACACTCTCTTTTTCAGTAAAAATACACTTGTTCCCTAAATAACTACATACTGTATGACAGCCCACTACCTCTGTTTCACACAGATGTGCTTGTACTGACATAGAAGACGCCACCACACCAAATAGCAAATAAAAACACCCAAACTAAGGTCTTAATTTGAGAACGAGACAGCAAGTCGTAGTGCACATGCAAACATTACATTACTGTGCTATTTAACTTTCTTTACACTCCACAGTCAGTTGTATATACATACAGAATATTGATCAGAATAGTCCATGTACTTACTCAGTGTCAGAGTGATAGGTGAAACACTCAGGGAGGTACATCTCTACTAAATCCATGTGCTCTTTGACACCATACTCTGAGGAGCAAAGATCGCTGTCAGCTTCCTCTCTCTTTCTTTAGTTGGTCTGTCTCCCTATAACTCTCTTTCTCTGTGTCTCTACCAATCTCAGTTTTTCTCTTAAACACACACTTTCAATGGAGCAACAGTCTCTCTCTCTCTCTCTCTCTCTCTCCTCTCTCTCTCTCTCTCCTCTCTCCTCTTCTCTCTCCTCCTCTCCTCTCTCATCCTCTCTCTCTCTCTCTCTCCCCTCTCTCTCTCTCTCTCTCTCTCCTCTCTCTCTCTCTCTCCTCTCTCTCTCTCTCCTCATCCTCCTCCTCCCTCTCTCTCTCTCCTCTCTCTCTCCTCTCTCTCTCTCTCTGTTTCTGTGTGTCTCGCTGTCTCTATCTGTGTCTATTTCTCATGCGCTCACTGACTTTTCCTCTAGCAGCAGTGTTGACACTCCAGCCAGTGAGGTCTTAACTGTTGTGGCTCGCTCTATGATAGAGCACTCTAAGCTAGGGCTGGCCCTCATGAATATCCAGGTACTATTTTGGATGCCCCTCCCCCTGGACCACGATGTCGGCATTTGATTGGCCACCGTCTACTCCAATGAGAGCCAGACTCTAAATCGGAATTTCTAGTAAGGATATCTCTCTTTGTCCTAATGAAAACATTCTCCAATAGTAAATTACAGCCTGGGAGGCTGACCATTTAAATGAATTGTAACATTTGAATAGAGTTGCAGTTGAGATGTGTGTGTGTGTTTGTGCGTATTTGCAGGGTAGGGGAGTAACTGATTACATGTAATCAGTTACATGTAATCTGATTTAAAAGAAAATGTAATCAGTTATGTTACCAGCATAAATATTGTAATCAGTTTACAGATACTTTTGAAAAACTAAATGGTTACATCTTGGATTACTTTTAAATTGAGAAAGGATGCTTGCAATTTGTTTTTGACCTTTCTGTTTTCTCAATGACATTGAATTCAGCACTGAAAAAAGGCACAAGTTTAAGTTTCTTCCACCTGAGCGAGTCTGACCACAAGTCATAGACTACTATGATGACACACCAAATGCATTTGATATCTCTTTTTGTCTTCTGCCGCTTAATGGGAAAGTAATCTGAATGTAATCAGATTACGTTACTGAGTTTGGGTAATCCAAAAGTTACATTACTGATTACAATTTTGGACAGGTAACTACCCACTGGGCACACACTGGTTGAATCAACATTGTTTCCACGTCATTTCAATTAAATTATGTTGAACCAACTTGGAATAGACGTTGAATTGACTGTATCGGATTACATTTATAAAGTAACCTAGCCAACCCTGCGTGTTTGTAGTGAGGGAAGTGAGTACTGAAAGCTTTTGTCCTACTGTGATGATATCTGATCCTAAAGGACATTCTATACATACATCTATCTAGGTTGTGTGTGTATTTCTTCATGTGCGAGTGTGGAGTGTGGAGTGTGTGTGTGTTTGTTACTATGTGTCCGTGTCCTACTTTATAACAGGTGCCACAGCACTGCCTCCAACCACCCCCAACCCCAAACACACACACACATGCACGTCGACTTACTTTATTTAAAGCCCTGATTGACATAAGTTTAGGAACTCAGTGATGCAAGCCTCCCTAGCTGTTTAACTCACAGATACCCCGTCACCAAACCTAGATCTGATAATCAGTCACTAAAATGTGCCTAATATGAAGCTCTGACCTCTCCCTGACTGACACACATACAGTGAGGGAAAAAAGTATTTGATCCCCTGCTGATTTTGTACGTTTGCCCACTGACAAAGAAATTATCAGCCTATAATTTTAATGGTAGGTTTATTTCAACAGTGAGAGACATAATAACAACAACAGAAATCCAGAAAAACGCATGTCAAAAATGTTATAAATTGATTTGCATTTTAATGAGGGAAATAAGTATTTGACCCCCTCTCAATCACAAAGATTTCTGGCTCCCAGGTGTCTTTTATACAGGTAACGAGCTGAGATTAGGAGCACACTCTTAAAGGGAGTGCTCCTAATCTCAGCTTGTTACCTGTATAAAAGACACCTGTCCACAGAAGCAATCAATCAATCAGATTCCAAACTCTCCACCATGGCCAAGACCAAAGAGCTCTCCAAGGATGTCAGGGACAAGATTGTAGACCTACACAAGGCTGGAATGGGCTACAAGACCATCGCCAAGCAGCTTGGTGAGAAGGTGACAACAGTTGGTGCGATTATTCGCAAATGGAAGAAACACAACAAGAACTGTCAATCTCCCTCTGCCTGGGGCTCCATGCAAGATCTCACCTCGTGGAGTTGCAATGATCATGAGAACGGTGAGGAATCAGCCCAGAACTACACGGGAGGATCTTGTCAATGATCTCAAGGCAGCTGGGACCATAGTCACCAAGAAAACAATTGATAACACCCTACGCCGTGAAGGACTGAAATCCTGCAGCGCCCGCAAGGTCCCCCTGGTCAAGAAAGCACATATACATGCCCGTCTGAAGTTTGCCAATGAACATCTGAATGATTCAGAGGAGAACTGGGTGAAAGTGTTGTGGTCAGATGAGACCAAAATGGAGCTCTTTGGCATCAACTCAACTCACCGTGTTTGGAGGAGGAGGAATGCTGCCTATGACCCCAAGAACACCATTCCCACCGTCAAACATGGAGGTGGAAACATTATGCTTTGGGGGTGTTTTTCTGCTAAGGGGACAGGACAACTTCACTGCATCAAAGGGACGATGGACGGGGCCATGTACCGTCAAATCTTGGGTGAGAACCTCCTTTTTCTTTTTCTTTTTTCTTTCACCTTTATTTAACCAGGTAAGCCATTTGAGAACAAGTTCTCATTTACAACTGCGACCTGGCCAAGATAAAGCAAAGCAGTGTGATAAAAACAACAACACAGTGTTACATATGGGGTAAAACAAAACATAAAGTCAAAAATACAATAGAAAATATATATACAGTGTGTGCAAATGTAGCAAGTTATGGAGGTAAGGCAATAAATAGGCTATAGTGCAAAATAATTACAATTAGTATTAACACTGGAATGATAGATGTGCAAGAGATGATGTGCAAATAGAGATACTGGGGTGCAAATGAGCAAAATAAATAACAATATGGGGATGAGGTAGTTGGGTGGGCTAATTTCAGATGGGCTATGTACAGGTGCAGTGATCGGTAAGATGCTCTGACAACTGATGCTTAAAGTTAGTGAGGGAGAAAAGAGTCTCCAGCTTCAGAGATTTTTGCAATTCGTTTCAGTCATTGGCAGCAGAGAACTGGAAGGGATGGCGGCCAAAGGAGGTGTTGGCTTTGGGGATGACCAGTGAGATATACCTGCTGGAGCGCATACTACGGGTGGGTGTTGCTATGGTGACCAATGAGCTAAGATAAGGCGAAGATTTGCCTAGCAGTGATTTATAGATGGCCTGGAGCCAGTGGGTTTGGCGACGAATATGTAGTGAGGACCAGCCAACAAGAGCGTACAGGTCACAGTGGTGGGTAGTATATGGGGCTTTGGTGACAAAACGGATGGCACTGTGATAGACTACATCCAATTTGCTGAGCTGAGTGTTGGAGGCTATTTTGTAAATGACATCGCCGAAGTCAAGGATTGGTAGGATAGTCAGTTTTACGAGGGCATGTTTGGCAGCATGAGTGAAAGAGGCTTTGTTGCGAAATAGGAAGCCGATTCTAGATTTAACTTTGGATTGGAGATTCTTAATGTGAGTCTGAAAGGAGAGTTTACAGTCTAACCAGACACCTAGGTATTTGTAGTTGTCCACATACTCTAGGTCAGACCCGTCGAGAGTAGTGATTCTAGTCGGGTGGGCGGGTGCCAGCAGCGTTCAATTGAAGAGCATGCATTTAGTTTTACTAGTGTTTAAGAGCAGTTGGAGGCTACTGAAGGAGTGTTGTATGGCATTGAAGCTCGTTTGGAGATTTGTTAACACAGTGTCCAATGAAGGGCCAGATGTATACAAAATGGTGTCGTCTGCGTAGAGGTGGATCTGAGAGTCACCAGCAGCAAGAGCGACATCATTGATATACACAGAGAAAAGTGTCGGCCCAAGAATTGAACCCTGTGGCACCCCCATAGAGACTGCCATAGGTCCAGACAACATGCCCTCCGATTTGACACATTGAACTCTATCTGAGAAGTAGTTGGTGAACCAGGTGAGGCAGTCATTTGAGAAACCAAGGCTATTTAGTCTGCCAATAAGAATGCGGTGGTTGACAGAGTCGAAGCCTTGGCCAGGTCGATGAATACGGCTGCACAGTACTGTCTATTATCGATCGCGGTTATAATATCGTTTAGGACCTTGAGCGTGGCTGAGGTGCACCCATGACCAGCTCGGAAACTGGATTGCATAGCGGAGAAGGTACAGTGGGATTCGAAATGGTCGGTGATCTGTTTGTTAACTTGGCTTTCAAAAACTTTCGAAAGGCAGGGCA